TTAGATCAAAATAAGATTTTCATTGAATCCGGAAGATCAAGAAATATTGGGAGAAGTAATATAGGGTGTAATAAAGTTATGAAGTATTCCAGAGTTAAAGCACATTGTAAATAGAATTTAGGTAGAAAGAATTTTGACACTGCCTTAGTATTTCGACCATAACTTTTTATCCTGATATCCGTTTGAGCTAAAATTTTTACAGTAGATAACACACTTACAGGGATACAAAAGTAAATTTCACAAAAATTTTCCAAATCAACCTCTAAATGAGTCAAAACATTACTGGAAGTTTCCGCAGAAACAGGGAGTCCATTCGAACGTGAAAGTCCGTTCGAATGATAATTCATTCCAGTACTCTTGTCTGATGGAAAAACAAAAAGTACTAGGAGCAAGTGACGTTCAAACGCCCAATGACATTCGAACGTGAGCAGAGAATCAGAACATCAGATTTACGTCAGTTGAACTCTTTTCTCACCCTATAAATACATAAGGCTGCCTCCATTAGTCCCATTTCAACATTTCTAACCCTAGAAAGTCTTAGAGAGGAAGAAAGAAGGAGAAAAACACAAGATCAATGAAGATTTTCACATTAAAGTAGATCAAAATATCAAGTTCTTCACACAAAACTAAGAAAAAAGGTATGGGATTCTTCTCAAGTCCTTTCATTGAGACTTAAGGTATAATTATGTATGTTTTCAATCTTCTTGATAATTATATGATAGATATACATAAATTTTTGATTTCTTTATCATTGGAACATAGTCTTGAGCAAAATATATGTTAGGGTTCAAGGAGTATTTGTTCTTGAATTTCCAAAACTCTAACTTTTCCAAATACATGTTCTATGGTGAAATTCATAGTGATTATTGATTTCTAAATTCTTATGCTTGATTAAATCATGTTTTCATCTAAATGTTTGTTCTTGTTCCAAGAAATTGGAATTTTTGGCAAAACCCTAGAATTTTTGAATATCCAAATTATGAAGGTTTTCTTAAGATGATCTCTTGCATAATTTAATTTCCTATTACTATAGTATATTGAGAAATGAAAAATTGTGATACTTGAATTGATAATGGAAATTGTGATTGGTTAAGATTGTAATTGTTGAGAATATTTTGGTTTCATCTCTTGTATGGTTTGTTGTGACGAACTTGAATTACTTTCGAGAGCTGTCGTAGAGTGTTAAAGGTTAGTCTATCCAGTGGGGGTGAGATGGTTTCCTAACACTTGTAGTGGATTATTATTTGTGAGAGTAATCACTATTGTTCACGTAAGTTCGAGGCTGAGGGATGGTAAACCTTCCCGGGAAGAATTCGTCAATGCCGTGGGAAACGGTATACGCCCTTCCTAAAATGTTTGTGATTGTGTAGTAGTGATGTGTGAACGAGGTAGGATCGTTGTGTAGATTCCTGAGAAACAACTAACATACATGATAGTGAGGATAAACCAACATATATGAGAATATGGAATAATGTTACTGAGTTATTTATTGATCGTTTTAATCTCTTAAAAGTTTATTTTTGTCATTGATTTACTGTATTTTGTATACTTGAGATCATTACAACTATCATGGTTTTATTCTCAAAATCTATATATGTTATTTTCCAAAAGAGACTTGCTATCTTTTATTGTTTTTTAGACCTTGTTGGGATTTGAGAGGATTTTCTTATAAAGCTTAGCGCTCACCCCCTACAAACAACACTTTTTTCAGATTTTGATTAGAGGAAGAGCTCAGAGTAGATGAGTAGGTAGCTTCTTGATGGGCATGTGGACCCGAAGGGGAATGTCTAAAACTATTCTTTTTATGTCCTAGACTAGAAGGTTTATTTTGAGATAATATTCATGTTAATGTTTTCTTATTCCGCTGCAAGATAATAGTTAATTTTTGGGATGTAAGTGTTGTAGTTGGGCTTATTTTTTTGGATGTAACGGTCATGGTTTGACATATTTTTTTGGATAAAGTTGTAAATATTATGTATGATGAATGAAATTTTATTTACTTATGGATTTTAATAGTTACTCTCATAATGTGAATGGTTTAAGATAGTAATGTCATCCAATAGATTTTGAAACGTTACAATTATAGTGTAATATTCTGGTATAGTCTGTCTTGACTAAAGAAGATTATTTGATGTCTCAGATTATTGCACTAATACACTTTGTATATTGAACAAACTCATGTTGATATTATTATTTTTTACTGATTTAATAAGATAATATCTCATGATTATTATGATTGTTTATGCTCTTAATCCCTAAATATTTAATTGTCACGTACATATAATGTTTGTCACTTTAATTCATCAAAGAGTGAAATTCATATTGGGTCAATAAGCTTGATGAATTGGAAGATGATGTTATTTGTATGGTGAAAATTAAATATTAAAAGAAACTACGTCCTAGTATTTAAATAGGTTGATGATGTCCTCTTGAGAAAGCTCATAAATTTTGTCTATGTCAAACCCTACAGGTGGATTTAATTATCCGACATAACAAATAAATTGAGTGGTAAAGTTTCAAGGAATAAAAGAAGTTAATTAAATATAATTGTCAGTGATATATTAAATTAATGGACATCTGTAATCTTAAACGTGAAAAGATTATTAAGTATATAATAAGGAGCTCGAATATAATTTTGAGATAAAGTCCAAAAGATCAATAATAAGTCTTAGTAGACTGACTTATTATTTAAGGGTTGTATGATGTTTGTTTTGGGTTGAATATAAGAATCATAAGCTCATTGGGAGCCCGGTCCTTATTTCTACTTAGGGTCTTTGTCGTAGCCTATATATAGACGTCTATCTTCTCTATTTCAGCATTCTATCTTTACTCACGTTTTTTAGGAAGGTTGAAAGAGAGGGCAAGTATTCGGAGGTCTTGGCGGCCCACGGTGCTTCCGAATTCTGACGTTGGGAGATATACGACAGAATGCCGCGAGGTTCGTCGAGTTGTAGTCGTTGTTCTATTCTGCATTCGTACTGAAACGAGATCAATCCCGAGAAATCTCGAAAGTAAACCCTAATTTTGTCTTGTAAGATTTTTAAAAAATATATATAATATTCGATACGTGTGTGCTGTCAACAACTTTTGAAATTTCCATTCTAACAACTACTTGTACAGCTCAGCATGTTTATTAGTTTGTTGTGCTTCAAGAGATTCTTGTATAAATAGTGATGTATGTACTCATTGTAATTAAAATTGAGAATAACAGATTCAGAGCCTATCTTCTTCTTTCTTATGCTCTGCAACTTCTCTTCTTCATTTCTAAAATCTATCAACATTGGCATGTAACATCAGAGTCTGTGGAGGTGGGGTGGCGCTACTCGATTGTTATTCTTTCTCTTTCTCTCTCTCTCTCTTTTTTTTTTTTGTTTGAATTCTTTGACCAATCTTGACTAAAGGGTAAAGAAAATCAACTATGAAGAATAAATGAGTCGTTTTATAATAAAGTCTCCAATTTAGGATGAATGTCACGAGTGGCCAGATAGTTTGTAGAAGTGCAAGGAATGTCACCATGGTTTACCCTAAAACATATTCTTCCGACATGGTAATTCTCTAAAAAAGTAGTGGCGGAGCCATTTTATGGCCCATAAGGGGCCATGGTCCCCTGAACTTTTTGAAATTAGACATTATTCCCTTAAAATTATGTTTTGATTATATTTTATATATCACTCATATTCTTAAAATTATAATTTATACATTGAATTATAATCTTGATTATATTTTATCCTCACGACTATTGATTACACTATGTTGAACCACTAACTATTAAAATTGTGACATTTTACATCAATCGTTAAATTTTGGTATTGTAAATTTATAAATTTTAAATTATTAATGGTGCAATTGATTTTCCTTTTACATCTAACAATTCAAGTTTCGATTAATTTTATTCACTTTATTGAAAATAATAATTATACTATATTATGTGTTGAGATTGATTCTTGTATATTCTATGCATATGAATGTCAAATCATTAATGACCTAATTGAATGATCCATTGAGTACAAACTATATTGTTATACCATTGCTTGGCCCCTTGCAAGGGGAAATACTGGCTCCGCCCTGTCTATAAGACGGTAAGTCCAGCGAATCATTTGAAAAAAATTCAGTAGAACAATTATAGAGTGTGTAAAATATTTTGGAAGATAGGAACAATGGATTCTATATAATTAATTATAAGAATCACTTGCTAAATAGTACACAACTTAGAAAGTTTTAATCAATGGACTTTTGGTCCAATGATACTTCTTGACTTGTGAAGATTTTGTCTTCTTAAAGTCAAGAGTTCAAGCCTCCCTCCCCCTTCCCCACCCAAAAAAAAACTTAGGAAGTTTTAAAACCTTATTGGGAATTGTCGCCCCCCCGGCCCCGCCAAAGATCCATCGTTCATCCCATAGTCATGGGGGATGTTAACTCTCAACTCCCACTAAACCCTAATAAATTTGGTAGTTGTTCGTTTGGATTTATCCAAAAAGTCCAAGTGACCATTATGACTTATGAGTCACCCTATTTTCCCCTCTTCTTCCGTGCATACTGCAGTAAACAAGGCAAACACTTTGTTGTTCACCTTTACAACGAACCTGACACCTCTCTCTCTCTCTCTCTCTAAATATTCAATAAAAGGTGATATTAAATATAACAGTGTGACCATGATATTAGCATTCAATAATAACTTATAAAAATTGATTATTAACGAACCCTCTTATATAATTGCTCCTTATTAGGTAATTATTGGAGGAATAGTTATCAACAATTTCATAGTTTATATTGTTGGATAGTGATACTATATACATCCTTGATATCACTGTTGTATATAACATGTACACGTATCCCACATATACACCTCAATATGGGTTCCCCCCACATTCTCTCTCTCTCTCGCTGATGTGTACCCCAATGTACATTAGGCTAAATTGCATTCAATATGGGTTAGGCCTCTGGCAAGAGAACAGTTGAGATAATTAAACCAGTCGGCAATATAGGTGATGTGTCAATTGGAGAAATAATAATAATAAAACCACCGGTAATGTGTTGCTATTCTCATACATGTACTCTGAATTATATTCACCTATAAATATGGTAACCCTCTTGATCTCTTCCTTCCATGCAAGCTTTGGTTTCAGTCCAAGCTCAACTCTCTTTCATATCACAGTTTTGCTGGTTCAGTAGTTGAGTACTTTAATGGAGTTTCATTTCCTACCCATCTTCACATTTCTTTCTGTGAGTATTAAACCTTCCAGAATCCCATGAGCTTGCTAATCATTTTTCTAGTATGTGGTCACTTAACTAGGCACTGGTGTGGCTGTAATGTTGTTTATTGTGATCCTAGTATCCTGGAAATAGTCTCTCCCCTTGCGGAGTTAAGGATGAGTATATCCAACTCTCCCCAAACTCAGCAGAAACGGGAGTCTCGTGCACTAGATTAGCCTTTTTTTGTGTTCACTAGTAGTAAACATTCATGCTTAGAAGCTAATGCGATATTATGTTTGTTTGTTTCAGCTGGCACTGGTGGCTAGCCATGCAGCTCTACCTTCTGAGGTTTATTGGAAGTCTGTTCTGCCAAACACTCTCATGCCCAAAGCAGTCAAGGACCTTCTACACCCTGGTTAGTCTACAATCTGAAAAGCTCCCCTTCCCCCTACCCTCTTCTCCCTTCCAGTTTACTTCAAATTTTTTTATGGGATTTTGATCTGTTTGCTTACTTAAAAAAAAAAAAAAAACTCCATTCCAACTCAACATAGTCTTAGCTTTACTACTAAGATAGATACATGAATCTTGTTTTGCTTCCATACAAGACAATAATTAGAAATCTGAGATTTTTGTGAAAGTTTAGCATAATGTTTCTTATTTTTGGCATGAGCAAAGAAAGAACTCCTTGACAAGATTAACCAGAGAAATAGTAGGATTAGGAACTTAAAAAATTAACTTAATTTACTAACTTAATGATTTATCAAGTTAATAAAGAAGTCTAAAAGTTATAGTTACGCTAATACTATTAGATCATATCAATTCCCACATTATTGTATCAGTAAATTAAATCTCTCTCATTAGGTATCCTATCAATGAGTTTGCTTCTCTCTGATATGAGTATCTTTTTAAGTCCCAACAGCTGTATTTATTATAGATGTCCAAAGTAGGGTAAGCTTTACTCCTTTGCTCGGTTTTCTAGGCAATCTAACAAAAAACTTGAAGCATAAATATTGTAAGTCAAATTGAATGCACGCGAAATTTGGTACCCCTATCATCGTCAGACCTTGCAGAAGCTAATCAATACCTTACCTTGCTTACCAAGAAAAAAGTTAGTTTTCTTATTTTTAAGCATGGATTGAGATTCTCTTCTTACGTTTTCACTTAATAGATCATCTACCGTGTATAGATAAAAAAACACACTTGTTAATAACAGATTCTAGCTAAATTTGTAATGAATGATCTACTATTAACCAAAAGTATAACGAAAAAAATCTCGATCCTCTAAACATCTCATATAATAAGAATTTTTAAGGGGAGTCGGGTAGGTGGCATCTGTAATAACAAGAATAAAAACCTAAAAGATTTTGAATTTACAAATCAAATTCAATAAATATTATCGATACAAATACATGAGTGTCTCTGATCATGTGTATATGCTTGAAGACAATCCTCAAGGACAATTAGTTATAACACTGATGTTGCTCATTTGCAGAATGGATGGAAGACAAAAGCACTTCAGTCGGGGTAGGAAAGGGTGGCGTAAACGTGGGTGCGGGGAAGGGAAAGCAGGGCGGTGGAACTAATGTCGGCGTCGGCAAAGGAGGCGTATCCGTGGGCACAAGTCAAAAAGGAAAGCCCGTATATGTTGGAGTATCACCGGGGCCAGTGCCATTCCTGTACAAATATGCTGCCACTGAGAATCAACTCCATGATAACCCCAATGTTGCTCTTTTCTTTTTGGAAAAGGACATGCATGTAGGCACAAAGATGAACTTACACTTCATTAAAAGTACAAATGCCGCTACTTTCTTGCCTCACATGGTTGCTAAGTCGATACCATTTGCGTCCGACAAAATCCCAGATATCTTGAACCGATTCTCGGTGAAGCCCAACTCGGTGGAAGCTGAAGCAATGAAGAAAACAATTAAAGAGTGTGAGGAGCCTGGCATCACAGGAGAAGAGAAGTATTGTGCCACTTCTTTGGAGTCCATGATAGATTTCAGCACTTCCAAGCTGGGGAAAAATGTTCAGGCAATGTCCACGGAGGTGGAAAAAGAAACTCAGCTGCAGGAGTATAGAATTGCAGGGGTGAAGAAGATGGCTGGTGGAGACACCGTTATATGCCACAAACAGAGCTATGCATATGCAGTATTTTACTGCCACAAAACGCACAACACCAAAGCGTATATGATTTCCTTGAAGGGAACTGATGGGACGGCAGCTAAAGCAGTAGCAGTGTGCCATAAAGATACCTCAGCATGGAACCCGAAGCATTTGGCCTTTCAAGTGCTCAAGGTTACACCAGGAACCGTTCCAATCTGCCATTTCCTTCCTGAAGATCACATTGTCTGGGTTTCCAACTAGCTCTCTGCAAAAAGCCGCAATAGCCATTAGTTTCATCAGTTCATTTGGTGTGGTTTGCATGTAACATCGTGAAACTCTTATCAATTAAGGCGTTATTTGTATTATCTATATACATCTAGGTATAGGCATAAATAAATATGGTACTGAAGGCTTGATGAAGGGGGATAATGCAGTTTCATCAGTTCATTTGGTGTGGTTTGCATGTAACATCGTGAAACTCTTATCAATTAAGGCGTTATTTGTATTATCTATATACATCTATGTATAGGCATAAATACATATGGTATTGAAGGCTTGATGAAGGGGGATAATGCATCTTATGTTTCCTTAGTTTTTGAATAAAACAGACATTGACCAGAACTATGAATGTACCTAGCATTCCTCCAAACACAGATATATTCTCAGAGTCACTCACCTTCCCCACTGACTGAAAAAGCATTTCAATGTGTCAGATAATAAAAATGAAGTCATAACCTTCATATGAGTCACTTCAAAGCAACCAAAAGATGAAGCCCATTAAAATATACCTGACAAATCTAAGCACTGGGTGAACAACAAAAATTGTGCTTACTAAGATGATTGTAATGTCCTCAAGCAATCCCTCAATACCATAATCATGGTTATGATTTCCTCAAAGAATGATTTTCCCATCCTCTTTTTTCTTTGTCACATATCTTCAGCGTATCAAACTTGTGCCAAGGTAAAGGTGGCCATGTGGTAAGGAAACTTCACGTTAGATGGTCCTCCATCAAATTGATGGCATATTTGAGTGGATAGATCCCATTGGTGGTTCTGCACCACAATGTCCACTGCTTCTAGGACAAATTAATGCAAATAAACAGGTGAACATGAAATGCAAGAATGCCTTTCAATTCAATGGCTACAACTAAAAACTATACTAAACATGAACACCAATTAAATCAACGGATATCGAAATTCAACAGTAAGATTAGTTTTCCCTTGTGAACTAGTATATAAATAATCTTAATATTGGATCACCATTGATGGTAAGTCACAACTATCAGCACACCCAGCACATCGAATTGCTGGGGCGTTCAACTTCATGAACCATATGATGACTGTTAAAAAGAGATCTGCTGCTTCCAATTCATTCCTCCTATTAGTTGAGGGCTCAAGTGAGCTGAAAAAAAAAAAGTGGCATACAATCAAGATAAAAATCCAAACTATAAGCCCTTTACCCAATGAATAAAATGCTGGCTCTCTTCAAAATCAGATCATAAGAATCAGCTCCCAGCCTAGTTCCTTAGGTGAGGCCCATTACTTCTGATAGCATTTACCTTTACAGTTCAGGAATTCATGGTCGGCACACTGTTGTTTCTTGGGTCGTAGTTCATGCCCACTCTTCATAACCCCCGCCACCTCAACACTAAGTCATAACTCTCCTGAAAAAACGATCCAGTCAGTTGGAAAGTTGGTAAGAAAGTCAGATGCATCTCCTGCAGGCCAAAGCATTTCCTTGAACAAATGTGATTCACTGTCTAAAGAGTGAGTGCCACTAGTTGGGGGCCGCCCAACTTTAGTTGCAAAATACTTGGAAGACAGGGTAGTAGGAGAGAGTAGAAGGGGGAGTTTTGCTGCAGCCACAGGCTTGGCTAGACTCATATTCCTTCACTAAACCCTGGCTTATCAGTTGTCAGACTTGCCTATAAAGATCTTATAGCAAGTATGATGCAATTAGCACTACTTACGAGCATTGGTCCCAGATGTCATTTTCTCTCCAATATCAAGCAAGTCACCTGGGTCATATGCAACAGCAGACCATTGAAACCTAAGAATGAGGCATAACAACTTCGTCTGTATGTGGTTCGGCTAGGAAAGGCTCTAAAGATCCCCATGTCCTCCCAACCTTCAGCTTGACGTGCAAAGGAACTGCACAATTTGCATTAAAAATAATCTTCAATCCAAATCTTGAAAACAACTCAACTCAACAAAGCCTTGTCCCAACATTTTTTGGGTCAGCAAGTCTTCTAAACAAATGTAATGCATATTATTTTGCTGATAATAAACCAGAAGGGTATAAGTGGAACAAGGATGAGACCTTTCCAAAAAATTAAAATATGCTAACAAAGGCAAAACAAAGGGGACACAGAAAAGACACTACAACAGCCCCTAACAAGCAAAAGACACCCAACTCCTCAAGGTGATTATAAAATGAAATCTGGAGAACTCCAGGAAGAAAAGTAAAAGATGCATTATGAAACTTTAAAGCTATTACCAAGAAGCGAGGCAGCACTTTCCATGCTCATTTGCAGCAAAAATGCAGTTTCCTTCACAACAGACGGATCAGCTTCCACTACTAATTCATCATGTACCTGCATAGCAAAATCCAAAAGCATTATCAATCACATTTTTGTCCAAAAAGTTTCATACCTAACACTGATGTGCAGAAAACTTCCTGTGATTGCAAGGCTAACAAAATAAACATTTGCATCAAGATGGGCACAAGCATATAAATCGCAGCCAGCAATGATGGCATGTGGGCCTGACAGATGTTACCTAACCAGATCAGGATCCCTAATTCTATTTCCTCTTGGCACAACTCACTCAATTATGTGGGGCACATATGTTTTGAACCCAGAATTGTATAATTTAGTAAGTGTGATGATTCTTAAGGATTTTCTTCAACAAATGGTGATTATTAGTGCAATCAACAAGAGTTCAATGATGGTTTTCCATTGAATCTACTATAGCCATAAGTGAAAGGAACTGTCTCATAACTATGGCATGACCTAGAAATGCAAAATTTCACCCCACAACAACACTTGATTACTAGTCTTGATGTAAATATTGGTATATACAACGCATCTAACCCCAATCAACCAACCCAGCACAAATTGAGAAAAACTAAGGCCCAGTTTGGTTTGTATCATAAATTGTTTTTTAGTTTTCGGAAACAATTTCTAAGAGAAAAACTATTTGGCCAGCTTTTTTTTGTTTTTGTTTTTTGAAAACTGAAAATAAAGAGTGGGTAGATTTAGAGAATATATTATGACTGTTTTATTTTGTTTTTGAAAACCACCTTTCCAGAATTTAAAAACCACCACCACATTTCCACCACCACCACCACAACACTCCCACGACCACCTCCATACTTCCACCACCACCACATATTTGTTTTCATTGTTTTTTGGGTTATTGTGCAAACAAGTTTTACTTTTTGCTATTCCGTAGAACTATTTTTAGAATTATATAGTCAAACAAGTTCTACAACACAAAAAACACCAAAATAATTATTTAAAATTCTTCCAAAAACAGTTTTTGAATACTATTTTTTGAGACGCAAACCAAATAGAGCCCAAGTCTCATGCCTTAACATGTTGTCTTTCTATGTTTATTTAGTAGATCTAGACCAAGTATGTGATATTAGAAGATTAGACAACAAGAAAATATTGTTAAAAAAACAAAAAAAAATGTCAAATCATGCTGATGGCAGGTTTATATGTTGCAGGCCGCTAGCCACTATGCATGTGAAGCAAGTCCCCACCACTATCACCACAAGCAACAAGATAGAGGCCCTCCTCCAATGTAACAGAGGAATATTATCCAACAGTCATGACCAGTTTTTTAAAAGATTTCTGATATGAATTCAATATGGAAAATGCAGTAGCTTAACATGAATTCGAAAGGGGAAAAAGAAACAAATGCAAGAATATGACAATTAATGAAGATCTGCATTATTGGGCCCCTTCTCCTCCTCCCTCAACACGAATAAATGCTCGATTCATGTTATTTCTATTAAAAAGAAGATCCATACTTGAAAGTTGTTTCGTTTTCTTATCTTGTTTTCCTTTTTTCCTTTTCAGTTTTTACTTGGGTCTTTGAGGGGGTCTAGCAGGGGATGTGGTAGTGGTGGAGGTTCTTATCGTTCAAGTCATCTAAGGTAAATAACCAGGCATGTCTGGAAAAGTCAATTTCAACAAAAGCACAACTCCTCTTGAAAAGTGTTCTTGCTATTTAACAATATCGATCTTTCATTTATTGTCAGTTTTCTGTGAGCAAGTAAATGGATTGCACAGAGAACATCTATCCGTAATTAAAATGGAGAGATGGCAACAGCCATTCTGACTGACCTGTAAAAGCATTCGACATCGACCTTTAAGCATGCGAAATTTTTCTGCAAATGCGGCAAAAGAATGAGACTTCTCAGCATTTTCAACAATCACAGAGTGGATATTTCTCATTGCAATTTTGATTAAGTCAGCAGCAGATCCCTAAAAAGACAGAAATCAGTACAGGAAACACATCTTCCCGGCTTCATAAAACAACAGCTCCCTACATACTAAGGAAACATAAAACAAAAAATGAAAAAAAAAAAAAGCAAAACAGAACCACCTGACAAATTGAATTCACAGCTTGCCTCTGAGCTTTAGATTTTTCTTTACTGTTTCCAAATTTTATTTTTGCTAAGAAGCGCTTTCTTCCCTTGAGAGTCTCCACGTATCTATACCACAACAAGAGAGATGAGATCATTTATGTCCCATAAAGAAAGAAATGAAGGCCAAAGACATACTAAACCAAGCATGTACATACACCAGAACGATGGCACTCAGTACTTGAGTTATGTGTGAGTAAAAGAAACGAGAGAAAATAGGAAAGGGGGCAATGTTGCGAAACATATAAATACTTATGTTTTTTTTTTTTGGGTAAGTAAAAGACTTATGTTACACTCTCTCTAATGGCATAAACTTTTAGATGAGTTGGTCATTTAACAAATAAGGAAGACAAAATTTAGGCATACATAACTGTCAAGTTAGCTAAGTTGAAGCAAAATTTTGTTGGTTAACCCAAAATGCAGGCTGAATTATATTTCAATAATTCAATAGGTTTCCCAAATAAACACCAAATAGAAGAGACCATCTTGAAGACCAAAAGGTCTAATCTATAATAAGATAGAACCCAATTTGAATCTTTTTTCACTTCAAAATTTAATTTAATTTAAATTCATTTGGAAAAGCACAAGGACGGCTCAAATTCATTCTAATGTTAACTCAACGGTTTAGATTTTATCTAATTCTTCTAATTGAATCTAATGGCCCACATTTTATCCCACATGAAAAAAAAATCCCGCCCAAATGAAACCCAACCCTACACACTTCCCACCCCAAACCCCTTACATGGCTTCGCTCTCTCTCTCTTCTCCAGCAGACTGCTCACCAGTCAACAGTCACCTCTCACTCCTCTGCCCTGGATCATGGCTCAACACAGCGGCGATCAAAAAAAATCTACACACTACCCACCTACACGCTTCCCAGCCCTACACTCTAGCCAGACCCCTTACACCCCTTAGACTGCTCACCTCTCACTCCTCTGCCATGGCTCAACCAATGTTCTCAGCGGCAGCACAGCGGCGATCAGCGACAGCTCAGGTACAGCCCAGTGGCGATCAGTGACAGCTCAGCCTAGGTACCTCCCTCTCCCCTTCTCTTTCTCTCTCTCCAATCGCTCTCTCTGTCTCACTCCCATGGGTTTCGAACCTCGATGTGGGTTTGTGGAATTTCGATATGGATTTTTTGGGTTTGTGGAATTAGTTGCCTAAAGTTTTGGGTTTTGTTGAAGTAGCAATGGGTTTCGGTCATATAATGTTTTCATTGTTTCATTGTTGAGTTTGTGGATGGTTTGTGGAATTTCTGGAATTTCATTGTTGGGTTTGTGGATGATTCGGTCATAAAATGTTTTCATTGTTTCATTCGGTCATAGCAAATGATGTGGTTTTGTGGAATTTCTACTCAAGTTTTGGGTTTGTCAATGGTTTCATTGTTTGGTTCGAGCATTTCAGTCTTTCCAAGATCATTTTTTGATGAACATTTGAGCAAGAAAACTCTGATTTTCAAACTTTCTTTCCATCTTCCAAACGGTGGTGCTAGATGGACTCTTATGTGAGGCCACTTTGTGTTTGCGACTTTCTCCCTAGCAATTAGTTGTTTTGGGTTCACATGACAGTTTTGTACCGATTGTTGTGAATTTGGTTTTTTTTTCTTTTTTATTTTTTTGGGTTTTTTTGGGATTTTTTTTTTTGTGAGTTGCTTTAATGATTGTCACATTCGACATGGTTTTTATAGACCCCCTTAAGTTAAATTAATTTGAGTTTCAACACTGTCATGTGGCAGTAGACTTTTATAGTATAAATCATTTTAGAGAAAAAACCATAGTTTCTTAGTGCCATTTGTTATCAAAGGTCCATCCTTTGGTTTGTGCTTGGTTCTGGAGTCTTGCAGTGGCACTTGATTCTAACTATGGAAATTGTGCTCGAACCAAGCACACACAGCAACGCACACACAAAATAGCACACACATCTGCACAGAAACACACACACTGCACAGCAGTTTTTGAATTTGGATGTCTTTTAATTGGGTGTTTAATTGGATGTCTTTTTTTTTAATAACGAATATTAGGTTGTTAGTTTATGAAATAGGTTTATAGTTATGATAAACAAGACGTCAGCTTTCTGTCCAGTTAACTTATGCTATGACAATCAATGAAGCCCAAGACCAATCTGTCAAGTTCGCTGGGATTGATTTGCAGACAGTTGTTTTTAGTCATGGACACCTTTATGTGGCACTATCTAGATGCACAGCTTCAGATCGTATTATTGTCCTCCTTTCGGAAGATGGTTTGAATTGCACCACAAATATTGTTTACCCAAAAATTTTGTTATAAGATTCTTATGACAAGTAAATGATATAGTTTAAACAAGTTTATTTTTACTGAATTATGTAATCTTTTCAACATTTCAATTTTTAATTTTACAATAAGGTTCATTCTTTGTAGGATTAGAATGAATTTGTCAAAGAGAACGATAGAGTATATGCAATGGACCTTTGTAGTGGGGCCGGCGTAATTAGGTAAATCTACTCTTACGTCACTGTATCAAAATAACTTTAGAATTGTTGGCTATATATATTGTGTTAATTTTATTGTTTATGTGAATAATTTAGGTGGTTGTGTATTTCCCCCATTGGACAAAGTGCGTTCGTATTGATATGAGGACATTAAGGATAGTGATGAAGAGAAAGTTTAAAGAGATGAAGAGGACATTTAGAAGAGTTATTGAAAGATGACATTATCTCTGAGAAAACTCAAACGATCTGCAATCTAGTACCGACATGTCCACCTTTAACGATGACTAACCCATCACTGATCAAACAATTGTCCAGGTGTGAAAGCCTCTCTTACTGAGGATCTCTATATTTCTCTACTTCTCATGCATACAGACAACACACACAATACATGCACAAACACACACACAACTGTAACCAATCAAACACTCGCAAATCGAACTACACACCATTATACTGCCACCAATAAAGATTTATGATTGAAATCATTAAGCAAATGAACTGTTTGTTGAAATGCTACTAAGAAATACTTATTTAATTGTAAGTCTTTCTCTACAGGAAACATATCTTTTCGTAAATAAATTGGTAATTTGTTACAATCTTTCTAAATTCTTACCTATATCAATCTAAATCATCCCCCCTCCAACTACATACAAATGTGTGGGCTCATTTGTTTTTTAGATAATTCAGTGGAATTGATAGCAATAATTATGTTAAATCCAACTAATTAAAAAAGTGAGGGATCTTATGTTTCAGATTTACAATTATTTTATTTTACCTCACATATTTCGATAATTTTTATATTTCAAATATTTTCAGATATACGTTGAAGAATACTTGGTGTAAGCTATAAAGAAGATGAAGTAGTTTCTCTATTTGTGCATGTGTATATATTTTGTGTTCTGTCTTTTGTAAAGCTAACTAATTATACATGGTTATGATGATTTTGGGTATGGAATGATAGTTGTTTTGGTGGTTGGATATATATTGATGATTGTAAGTTTTGCAGACAGGTTTAGATTTTTCTGTGCTTCTATTTTTAAAAGAAACTCTGCCGAAATTTCTTGAAATTAGTAGGGATTAACTTGATATTTTGATGGTTGGATATGTGTTGATGATTGAGTATGTATTAATTATTATGATGGTATGGTGAATTATGATGATTGTTATGTTTGGTTGTAAGTTTTATAGACATGTTGTTTTAGGTTACAAAGAGTGTAGTATTTTTCGAGTTTTAATCTAATTTTTCGTTACGCCGTGCCTTCAGACACGGGTAATTACTAGTCTACTAATATAGCAGCATTGGCAAGCAATACCACTTAAAATGAAAGAAACCAAAAGACCTTCTCACTCAATAGAGTTATACATATGGAACCCACACAAGAGAAACAAATCATAAAAATCCCCACTGTAAAATGAAACATAAAAGAAAACAAATTCACAAACATTTAATAAAAGTTCCCTCAAAATCTCGTGACTTTTATTATAGTTCCAGTAAAAATACCAAAATCTGTGAAGTTTCTTCTGCCACTTTTAGAAATTCAACTAAGATGTGACTCACTCCCTTTATTTTGGCATCTCTTTTATCACGAACTGTAATATCTGAAACAGAGGACAGAAAAATCAACTAAAGTAGGTCTCACCCTTTCTGACGGCAAAATGTGACAGCGTCTTCAAGCCAGGAGGCAACACCAGGAAAAAAGCTTTTGAAGCTTTTAATTTTTACTGCGGCAGCCTCCGAACTGCACTCCAGTTGTACTGCTAGCGTATTAGCACTCATTCCATACAGCATGCCATAGACCAACCTTTTGGTTTGATCTCGCTCTTGAGAGCTAATAGTGGACTCTGCTTTCCCAGTCCATTTCGCTGCAATCATGATAAACACATCACCATGGGGGTTGCTGAGGAGTTCAATCAATGAATAGTCTTTAGAGAAATGAGCCATCAGTCTCAGTTCTATCTGAGAATAATCTGCTGTTAGCAGTAACCAGTTGTCCTGCCAAAAAATAAAAGGAAAGAAAAAAAAAAGGAAGAAAGAAACAGGAAGATTCAAATTTGGTAAAAACTAAAGTGTACCTCAGGAAAATTTTGGTCCTCAACGATTACACAAGGAACCTTTGTGGCCATAAATTAAAAATTCATTACCTGAGTAGGGACAAAGAAATCACGAGCATTGACTTTATAATGATTAGCATCTGAATCGCCTCCATCTTCGTTGTTGTTACTCATTTTAAAGTCAACCATATGCTCAACACACTACATAGCTCAAACAATAGATCATAACACCAACAGTGGCATTCTTCGTGTGAAAGGAATGATATAGGAAAAAGCAAAGAAATAAATGAATGAAAAACCAAACCTGAAGATTAGGCTCCTCTATTGAAAGTCGTCCAGTTGCTGTTGACGTCTGGAGCCAACGGCCATGCACTGTGTGCTTCTGTGTCCTCATAGAAAGCTTAGCAAGCGAACATATTGATCCCAATGTACAATTTAAGAGTTTCGCCAAGGTCCGGTGCTCTTTAATGACAGGAATAATAGGATGCTCACGCCTGAAATGAAACAGGATCCATATAATTCACATGGCCCGGCAAACATGAAGATGCATGTAGGGAGAAACAGGTTTGCTGTGCAGGTCACTTCATGTGATACACGAGCATTTAACCACAAGCACTGTGGTACAGCAGAATGCCAGCTTAAATATCTAATAACCAACATTCAAAAATCTCCATAAAGCAAAAACATGGCTTCCTCTAAAATAAGCTCCTTCAGAAGAATCATTGAACATGATTTTGTCTATTCCTTACAGTCAAGGAAAACAAACAAATCTAAAGCCAATATCATCAACTGCAAAAGTAAAATAAGAAGCGGCTGACAACTGTAATACAAGAGTGCATATTAAACTATAAAAAGCAGACCAAAACATTCATAGAAGTTCAACCATTATAACCTGTTCTAAGCTATGAAAATTTCGAATGTTGCAAGTAGAAATTCAAACTAATGAGGATTCTTTTGGGAAAATATTGGGAAGAACAAAATATAAGAACAAATAAATAGCTTTTTACCCAATGCGGCACATAAGCCCCCGAATTTCCTCCACCCCTCTTAATAACAAAACATACCATAAAACATTGCTTTTGGACTTCGTAATTCATACATTTTTCCTGCAATAACTTAACAGAAAAGCTTTATGCTTTGCAAAGAAAACTGCGTTCTTATAAAAAAAGCTAGCAGTGGAAAGAGAGCACATGCAAAGTATAATTCCCCTTCGAGAGGGAGAGGCTGCTTCCAATGGTCTTATAGGACAGTGGAAAGACTTCCTAGAACATAAAGCAGTGACTGAACGTAATAATCAACAGTCCCAAATGATTGAAGCATAAATGCTAAATCACACAAGAGAAAGACAAAAGGCAAGCACTAAGAATGCTGATTTAAAATATTAAACAATCAAACGAAAAACCTATCAACATCCACAATAGTTGATTTAAAGTGAACTACACACCATCTCATGCAACTTGGATCCAGAAGTCACATAAAATTTGCATCAGATTTCCTGCATTTTTGCTTAGCCAAAAATTTACAAGATTTTGTAGCAGGTAATTTTCGCTTCAACAGGGTGATCCATCAAACACATAATAAAAATTTATGTACCTTAACAAATCCAAACAATGCTTATCAGTACTAGGGTGTTGTTTCCCTTTCTTGTACCCTTCTGGTATGGGCAGCTTCAAGTGTTCATAGAGTACAATTGCAATATCTGATACCGTGTACAACGAAAAGGTCCTGCCAGCCAGCCTGTAAGCTTCCTTCTCAAGATGCCTTAGTTTTCTTCCCAGCACCTGACGTGCCTGAAGGCATCCCTCCATGTCAACACCTATTCCCCAAAGTTCCATATCAGCAAGAACATTAACCTACAAAGCAAGCAAAACTTTTAAAGTCCACTTCAGAAACTTCAAATAAACATGGAAAAAAGTCAAAAGGCAAAATTAGAACGATAAACCATCAGAAACTTCAAGCATGCAACCACTTAACGAGTAAAGTAACCAGTAAAATTAGTTTTAGAAAAGGAGAATGACATGACTTCCACACTCAGGCCTGAAGAGGGATAAGATTAGTTTGGGAATCAACCTCTCCTAAACAGGGGTAAGAATGACTATCACTTACCTCCCAGACCCCACTATAGGCGGGAGTCTTGTGCACTAAGCACGACATCATGGTTTTGCTAGCATGATAAAACGATTATGACAGGATTTCATGAATGCAAAATCCACCACAAGAAGGTTGACTTTCAAGAAATTATCCCTTTTACTTTTTTTTCCTTTTGTACAGCAGATTTATCAGTGCCCAAAATCAACCATCCTAGGCAACTATAACCCATCTAACACTATGATTTCGCCTTTATGGAAAGAAGACAAAAAAAAAAAACCCTCCCAGAATAGCACACAATGTTTCTCCAACAATCACATTATTTTCCTATCTTCACCATGCGGGTGACTATAGTATCACTACCAATTCCAGAATAACTTTCACATGGCCCTATTATCTACCCTTTGGGGGAGGGGGGGAGGGAGGGAGGGGAGGAGGGGGAGGAGATTAGAATGTTCACCACAGGAAGTTCAATGGTCATGAGTGCTTCAATCAGTTCTTCAGAGATTAGTAATTTCCAGAGAACAGAACACAAGGCTCGTATTTGTGCAACTCGACGGCAGCAACCATCTTGTGCTGCTCTTCGCGTCTGATTTTTCCACCTTCCACACCGATTAGCTGCTGCTGCTGCCTCAGTGGATAACCTTTTCTTCACTACCTGCATAAGCATCAAAACTTCAAAAGCCCATTTGAGCAATCATGAATTCTTAGGTGACACTTTCAGATATAAGATTTTCATGATTTATCTGTTGTCTCAGAAATGGTTACAAGTCGAAGGTCGAATATAATGCCTTGATATCTTTTCAAAGATAATATATTAAAAAAGCCGACCCACTGCCCAAGGCTCCCGTCACTGCAAGGTCTGAGTAGAGTCAGATGTACGCAGCCTTACCCCACATGTAGAGAGGCGACTCGAACCTTGATGCCTAGGTCACGATCAAACTTACCCTTGCCACGGACCACCCTCTTTCAAAGATAATATATTACAACCTAGAAAGTTTTAGCCTAAAATTTCAACCAAATATTTGTGATGTACTACAAATTACCTTTTCCAGATTGGGATTAGAGCTTTTCTCTTCATCAGGCCAAAGGATCCATGCTACGATGCACATGTCAACGGCATCTTGTACATAAACAGGGGACAACATATGGTACAACCTCTCAACAAGTTCCAAACCCATACTTCTAACAGAAGGGTTCAGGCTACCCAGTCTCTGAATGGAAACGGCAGGACTTTTCAACACCTGAATCTGAGCTTTTAGGTTCCAGGTAAACTTTTTAACATCTTTCTTCCCCAATATCATGCCAATTTTATTCCATCTTTTTGTAGCCATTTCCAACTGATGATGTGGTGCTAAAACTTCTCTGGTGTCACCAGAAATATTTGTCAAGTTACCATCAACTGTTCTGCTGTCATACCAGAATAAATCCTTGGGAATATCAATATAGTAAACTGGAGAATTTTCCCAACAAATTGCTATGCCATGTATTTCAAAAGGGTCAATGTTTTGCACTTCAGATCTTTTGTTAAAGTGAATGTCAAAATAGAACTCTATAGTAGTGTCCCACAAAACCAAGAAAGAATCAAATCCACCAGGAGTATTAACTGCTTTCAAAGGTCCCTTCCCAAATGCATCTCCCCTACTGCCCAGACAAGCATTTCCTCTCGCGTCCTGTGTCTGCCTAACATGATCAAACTGCTCATCAATTGCCCTATTTTCAGTACTAGTACTTGTTACCTGTAAAAAGAGGGTGGTGTCCATATTACTGATACAATCGACAGATGCATGAAGCTCACAATTATCAGACCCTTCAATCACTACTAAAGGATTTTGAGCGCCTGAGTCACTTGGCATGATACTAGATGAGTTTGCTCCTGCTGAAGGCCCAAAGCCAATACCTGATGTTTTTGTTGATTTCTCTGCAACAATTTCTGAGATAACTTTCAAATTTTCAATTCCTTTTGTGGATGGCTTTCTATGCTCTAAAGCAACAGAGCTACTAGTCGTCTCTTTCCCATAAGAGGTAGTTGCTTCTTTCTGAGTGGTATTGGCAGCAGCAGTCAATAATAAGGGTCTCGAAAACTGGGGAACATCAAGTCCAAGTGATCTGAAAGCTGAGAAGGCAACAAGCCTTGCCTCTTCGGCTTTATCAAGAACAATTTTGCGGGCACCATTCTTTATCTTCCTGGCTACTCCCAATTGTATCCGCCTTTGTGCTGAACCTTCTATAGTCATGGAGACAAATAGTCCAATTAGAGGGAAAACTAAAATCTAAGCGCACAACCTTTGAAAGCAAGGAAATTACAACCATATGCAGAAACATAAAGCTAGAATCCAGCAAATATTTTACATAATTCAAAAGACATGTGCCTCGCCCAGAAACAGAGTCAACTGAAAAGGGGCATGCCCTTAGAATTAAAGGTCACATAAGATATGCTAGAACGTGTGTGCAAATCTAATCCCTCCGAATATCACACCCATGACATTGAAATGAGATAAACAAAGGTTTAAACCAATTTTGGTAACTTTGGGGCTTATCGCTCATCAAAAGAGCTGTGGGCATGACGCTTAAGGATCTTGCAGTTACCTATGCCATTGGATAAACCAAATATATACCACACTACAAAGAACAGTTTTTTTGTTAGATCATCTTGTGGATCATAAATATGAAATCCGCTAGATTAAAAACTTTCAGCACAGTCCAACACTTGAAATAATGATAATAACATTGCAAGGCAATTGGATATTCATCAAAAACATAATGATCCACTGTATAGTCAAAGGGCACAAAAACCATCTAAGGACAATTCACCTTGTCCGGCCCATGAAGAAGATTCAAAAAGCGCTTTGACAATTTCAGGAATTGATGCTTCAGCAATTGCTTGAGGCGTGCGGAAACCAGCTTTATAGAGTGCTCTAGCTCGAGAACCCTAAAAAATGGAATAATGATGTCAAAAGCAGCAAACTTTAAAGGGAAAGCCTGAATGTCAAGCACATCCACTTAAAAGACTTAAACTGGAAATGAAGGTTTCAACTAAACATAAATGAAAGTCTATCGTCTTTAACGTCACCAAATGTTATACAAAAACACCCGGACTACATAATCTACTTACTTTAACATATGGAATGGTAGTGAGCTCTGCAATCTCTGCTCTGACTCCAAATGAAACACGATTTTGGAACTTGGAAACCAAACCTTCAAGATCATGCCAACCAAGCCTCTCACAGAACATGGAAACCATAGATGCAAACCTTCCAGCGTTCTCTTGTAAGGCTTGAACCATGCCTCGAGCCACTTTAAAGGCTTCACACACCTTAAGCACAGATACTTCCTTCATCCCACAATTTAACGATTGCATTATGAAAAACAAATCAAATGCTTATTATATGCAATCAAAACCAATTGAAAACTAAACAAACAAAAACAAGACATGCATGATGCATTGAAGCAATCAAATACAAAATACATAAGCAACAGAATAAGGTAAGTTGCTGATCCAAAAAGAAGAAATAAGGTGGGTTACCAATAAAAAATAAAGAAAGAAATAAGGTGAGTTGTGGATTGATAGAACATACTATTAAAAACTTAGGGGCATTTTATCTTGGATGTATAAATAAGGGGCAGGTAACAAGAAAGGAAAATATAAAAAGATGATTGATATGCTCAAATTTCGCTATTTGATACTAAATAAAAGCAAATATATATAAATTGCGTGCATAAAAAAAATTGTGATTTAAGGAAGAAGAAAGGGGGTTTGGGGTTGTTTTTGGGGTGGGGGGTAGGTGGACAAGAAATTCACCTCCACAAGTTTAGACAAGATGAGAGCAACATAGAATCGCTTGCACACCCGAACCATTTGTTCATTTGAAAGAACACTATGGTTTGACATCCCAACTCTATGGTCCAATTTTCCTTGCAAGCCTTTTGTGCTATCTCTTGATCTGGTTGAGGTGCGCATTGGAGCACCATGAGCCATGCACATTAAAAAGGGTTCTTGCACTCCAACTCGATTGCCAACTGACTGCATCTCATTAAGTACAGGGCATGAGAGTATATACTGTGCACCTCAGCAATTTCACAAGAGAGAAACAGTTTATTTGTTTCTACCTAAGGTTATTATCAGAGTTTCAAAATAAGGTTAACAACTCAAAACTAACATGCAGAAAAGTTGATGCAAAAAAAATTTACAATTAAAAAAGTAAAATAGCATTCATAGGAAGTAATATCACAAAATTGACAAGCCACAACAACGAAGCACGGCACCTGGAAAAACAGAGCCACATATACAAGCCAACTGATTCTATGGTAACAGGAAACCACAACCACACCTTTGGAGAAGGTTGGTAAAGCCAAGATACTTGCAACCACACACAAACCACGTGTTGTGTAATCCCGAGACTCAAACCTAAGATTTTGGGCCACATATGCAACCAACTATCTCATCACAGTATTGGGACCATGAGACCGAAATGATCAAGTTTTACAGAATATTAGGCTTTCTTTTTTCTGTTGACTCGAATGTTGTTATAGTCAAGCATTTTAATTGTTTACTGTACTCAAGCTTTTAAGGGTGAAGTATTTATAACAACAAGAAGAACTCCAAGACCATAGTCTTCATGTTAAAACATAAGGCCCCTTCAGTTTAACACGCCCCACCCAAAGGGCCCATTTAATAAATAAGAAAAGAGAATGTTGTTCCCAGAAGGGAAACCCGATATGAATCTTTCCCCACGATTATATACGTGGAGACCAAGAAACTATACCTAGAGAGAGAGTGAATAGTTTTTTTAATTTTAGCCCAAATAAATCAACAATTAAAAACTATATCTACTACAATTACCTCAACTCAATCGAATGCAAAATTTAACGATGAAAACTCCTTTAGTCACCACAATCACCTTTAACACACATGATGATTGATTAAATTAATATTCAATTAATTCGCTCGTAATCAATCTCATGTCGAACTCAAATCCCCAAACCCATTGCACAACTATGTATGGATGAATAGTCAATCAATTAAATCCACAAACACATAATGCACGTTTGCGCTAATAATTGTAAGTGTATACGATAAATAATAAAGAACAAAAATAATTTATTGATGCGTAAAACCTTCCTCGGGAAAAACCAGGGAACCTTCTTAGTTTACAAAAGCCTATTCCACTTCTCTCCAAGTCAATATACAAGTACTCGAGACTTATACCTCAACTAATACCATGGCTAGATACTCCTTATTTTGCTATGTCTCTCCGCCAAAAGTCCGTTGGAGGTATAGCTTCACTTGGACCTCCCCGCCAACGGTTCATATAGACCTCGAGCGATTATAAGCACGCCAATAATCCTCGGTATATACACACCAATGGATTTGTTGACCAACAAGTTCTTCAACACCAATTTATGAGGTTGGGTAGAATCACTAGTAGTAACCTTTGAATCTAATAGATCTAGGTTGTGGTAGAAGCTCTCAAGGTAGAAATATAGTTTTTCTCTCTTCAAAAACTCATAAGAGACTTAACCTAGATGTGGGCAAGACTCTCCCTATTTATAGGTCCGTAATAAGGGTAGTCTTAATAAATGAAAAAACTCAGATTCGCGAATAGCCATTCTATTAGTGGAAGGACGATCATAGGACGATTGTCACAAGAGTGAAAATAACATTTCAAACACGACTAAGGCAGGCACCACTCAAGCGACCATGAGATCGCTCAAGCGAGCTTTGTGCTGCCTTCTGTGGCTTTTTCTCATTTCCTTCTGACCTTCCCTAAGTCATAAAGAACTGCTCTAACAAGGGTTATCAAGCATAGATTGGTCTCTATAGATTTTAAAGCATAAAACCATGCAAAAACTTGTCATCTTAAACACTAAAGAGTGTTGTTGAAAGAGGGGTCCGATTGTGACTCAAACTATGCTTTCAAAATTCAAAATAGTTTAGAAAACTTTCTTTTTTAAATCACCTAAAAGTCATAATTGAATTGCTTCCAATTCCATTTTCATTCTAATCAACCTAAGTTCAAATAACTAAAGGTCAATCTTAGGTGTTTAGGTCATTACATTTGTCCTAAACATGAAGGTGCATACAGAGGTTGGATAATGTAACTTTGATGTTTGATCTCCTCCCTTCAATGATGATGTCAGATCTTGAACTTGATAGCATCATGACCATAGAACAGGTTGAGATTTTACAATAAATTTCATGAAATTAGCCAATTACAAATATGATCTAACCGAGAAAAAAATCTTGATATGTAATGAAACTAAATCAAGATTTTGTGAATTATTAAGGTCTACCATTAGCATCTGTTAGTGAAAAGCAACATATATATTCCGAACACCAACTGGTTAGCAGAAAAAGCCTCTTACCCATTTGAATTACCCTGATTGCAAGTTTGTACGCATGTTTTCTAGCCCACATGTAACCCCAGGTCCTACTTGAGGGAGAGCTACCGAGGTCACAATCAAGATTTTCAAAATACCATAAAATCCAAGAAGCATCCTTTGTCATCAAACAACAAAACCCTATTCTTGAACCACCCACAACCATATAATATTTGTTTGCACCCTGACAAGTACAAAATCAAGCAAAAAGTTCCACAGAAAATGCACACCGTCCACCTAAAACCAAGCAATAAAGTGAAAAAGTAGGTAACAAGTCAATCAAAAGCTCAGATCTTGAGGCTTTTTCTATTAATGACAAACACACCAGCCCACAATACTATCGTAAGTATCTTGAGGTAACTCTGATGAGATTCCACCAAGCAGAAACCTCTTTCCACGCCGGAATGGCGGTGAAAAATATTACAGGCAACCCAGTCAAGACCTAGAAAATCTCACACATAATGTCCGCCCTACACACCCTACAGAAACATACAGGCTTTTAAAACCATAGAAGAAAAAAAAGCCCATACACACACAACTCAGTGGAGGGACTTGCAAGCAACAAACCAGAATGATTGCATTTTGGCAGAAAGTTTTGTAACTCAATGATTATATAACCACTACAAAGGAAAATTTGGCATATCATGTTCAAAGACACAATTTTGTAAATTTATCTTGATGGCTGCTGAAAATCAACTACAGGCCCAGAGCAACTCATCAATTGGAATGCCTGATTAAAGGTTAATTGCTTCCATAACCTATGAGTGAATTGCATGTGTAGTTCATAGAAATTGCATTCCGTAAAGCTCAGAATCCACTACACATGGGACTTGAACAACTTCAGACTTGAGACTCGTAGTAATTACAAACAAACAACAGATGGCGTCAAAAGAGCTGTTGAACAGTCCACATCTATTCACCGAAGCTGAAAATAAACTGCATCTGAAAATTGCAGAAAATTTGAATGTCATGAGCAAGATGAACAATGCTATGCCATGAGATGCACAACTTGTATCCTTTCTCAACTCCTTGTAGGTCAACTACATGCAGACATACAGATCAAGACATCATTTTGTAAAACATAACGTGGAGTTTATCAATGCCATACAATCATAGGATCAGTTCTAGGCTTCTAGCTATCATTTGCAGATAAAATATTGTAATAACTGATTGGACAGTTGTGCAAATTAAATGATATTGAACTTCAATCCAAATCAATTGTGAAAGTAGCATTCAACCCCTAGTCTACTACCGAAATCATTGTCCTTGTCCAGGGCTATAGAAGCAAACGGTGAATGAGAGGCAAGTTACCTGGTCCAGGGCAGACAATTCCATGAATCTCTCATAGTACAGTTCCCAATCTGGCTCGAGATCCACATTAATGGGCGTTACTAAGTATACCAAATGCAAATCAGATGCAAGGACAAATCCTTCTCTTGCCCTCGAAAGATCATCCAGCACAACCTAGAAAACAATCAAAAAATTACTAACTAAATTCAGAAAACTGTAATATTATCCAGTTAAGGCCAGTTGGAAAAAATCAAAGAGAATAACAATTGGGTAGATTATACCGATCGACGGACAATGTTCAAATCTGCCTTGAAACCTCAAAATAAGTACATAACTTGAAAGAACAAAAATAAGAAAACAAAAAGAAATACAGAAATGGGGTAAATATTTACAAGTGATTCTTCAGGGCATAGAGAACTGCCAAAAGCTGCCCGTCCCAGAGGCGTGGTACTGTATAATTTAGTATCTTCACTCCATTCAAGAAATTTTCTATGGCATAACCACCTAAGAGAATCCTGTGCTGATTTCACCACATCTTCAAACGGTTTTGTTGAATTGAGAAGAGTGCACCTAACATATCGATGAATATCATTAGCAGTTTGAACTATCCCACCAGCAACAACCTCTAAAATTGCATGAATCATCCCATTCTTATCTTCTGACAAACAAGAATGCAGAGGTGGACAACTGTCATTAAGGAGTCCCAAAACTCTTTTGACTTCTTCTTGTTTGCAAATTAGTACCTGATTTTGGAAAAATCACAAAACCAAACTTTTGGTAAATATAAAGCTAAAGTACTTACCAAAAAAATATAAAGTTAAAATATTTTATGACATGGAAGGTTGTAGTAGACTTTCAATAGAAATCAAAGTAAAAGTATTAACCACAAAGATCTGAGAAAATTTTCATAAAACGGCTTCCAAACTAATAAAATCTAACACAATAACCCTACCAACAATTAAAAGGTACAAACAGAACATGCACAAAACAGATAAACATACACTCTCTCCTTTTGTATCTATCCCAGTTCGACCAGCACGACCAGCCATCTGTCTGTATCTTGTCCCATCAATAAAATCACGACCAATACGTGGTTGTCGGAAAATGACCCTCCTGGCAGGCAGGTTAACCCCAGCAGCTAGAGTGGATGTAGCAGTTAACACTCGTACAAATCCTTTACGGTAACAGGCTTCAACAATCTCTCTCTCCTCAAGCTGTGTAGACAATTAGAAAACAACGTGACAATTCCCATTTCCAAATATATACAAATTAATCCTCATGTTCAAAATCCAATTGGTTGTTCAAAAAGAATCAGGAAACAACAACAATGATAGGAATTGAGATAATTGAAAAAGAGAACACAAGAAAGAAAGCAACACCATATACAAAACCATGAAAAAGAAAATTTAAATAGCACAACAGGAATAAATTCTGGTTATAAATACACTGGAAACAAAAATACCGTGAGACCAGCATGGTGGTAGGCAACACCAGCAGGAAGAATTTCTTCCAATATAGGATCCAACCCAGCAGGAGACCTTCGCAAGGCATCAATAGTGGTAGTAATATCAGTGAATTCAGTTTGTTTGTTGTCGGAAGCAACAGAAAACTTATTGAGGTATTTCGCCACATGCCTAGCAGTCGATTCACATCCTTTTCTGCTAGAGCAAAACAGCAACACTGAATGACCTTCTTGAACGACCTAATATGATTCAACCAGTCAATTGTTCGGCACTAAGGAGAAGTTACAAATCCATTGTTAGAAATTAAAAAACTACAATAATAGCAAAGGAGGGAGTTCTGACCTCATTGCACAATTCTACAATATGGTCTGGATCTTTACCACCAAGGTAAGCTCCTTTTGAAATTGTCCTAACAATGTCCATTTTTTTGTTATAAATAGTATTACCAACTTTAATGTATTCCTCTAATGGAACTGGTCGAAAATCGGTCTGGTACAATGCTGCCTGCAATCAAATCAGTGAAAAATGATAAATGGATTTATCAAACAGCACTCAAGGCAAAAGTGATCCAGTTTCTACCAGGTTATTCAAATATGTAGCAGTGTACATATATGTGTGTGGGTATTAACTGCGACATGACCTTTCCATCCAACGAATTAAAGTGATGTCAATCGTAGACCAGTCCTCGTGAATCAATAGTTCAACACTATTCGTTTCCAAAAAAAATTAGTTCAACACTATAATATGAAACATTACAGATTCATGGACAGAAGATTTAAACTATTTCATCAACTTATAGAAACACTAAAACTTATTTATGGGTCTGATTTATTCCATTATTTCAACTAAATTTTAACCCCACTAAACACCTAAAACAACTTCACTAATCCTAACCAAGAATAACAGAGTAAATCCTATAACAGACAAACCAACCCATATAAACTCCCTAATACACCCACACATAAGAAAAGACCAATGTGAAGTAGTGTTATAGACTTGCTTTCCTCTTTTGTTTGCTCCAGCAAGGCATCTCCAGAATGCGTGCTCATTCAACCAAGGGTTTGAATTTAGCATCAAGAGAAGAAATGGAATCAGCTTTATCACATACCTAAGCTTAGAAATATGAAGGCCTTCGACATAGCAAGGGATAAGGATCTAAAGATCTAATTATGTACAATAATAGCTCAAAGGTGGACTAGTTCAATCAGTGTCACATAGGAAAATCCTACCACATAGATAGGTCGATTCTTAATCATCTATAATATAAAATAGGGCAGGCTTCAATAAGGTCATCCAACGGTCTCAAATACACTTATCCAACGGCCACCAACAATTCCCAAATTAGCGCCTGAAGGTTCCCCAAATCTCATGCCTCTCCCAGTCTCTCGCCACAAATCCCAAATTTTATGCCTAAATCTCAAGCCTCAGTCTCTCTCTCCCAATAGTTTCTAAATTTAAACCTTCTCACAAATCTTAATTCTCACCATGTCTTTCCCCAAATATAACAAATCTCCCAAATCTCATCTCTTTCAATTTTCCTTAGTTTGTAACTGATGTTTTAACACCCATCCGCCCCTGCCCAGCCGCTCTGCTCATCCACTGCCATTGCCAATAGCAATTGCCGCTGTGAGGTAAATTCAAACATTCACTTAATTCTGGTTCTCTCTCTCTCTCTCTCTCTCTCTCTCTCTCTCTCTCTCTATGCTGCTCATTCTACACACACGACATACACATCGCACAACGCCTATAAGATATTCAATCAAATGCCACAGAGGTGATCACCAACTCTCTACGCGCACACACAGCATGTTCGTTCTTTTAGTTTTTTATTATTAATGGTTTAAACATTGCTTTTGAAAATTCCCTAGATGCACACAAATTGGGTTTGCTTTATTTCTGCCAATTTGTTTAAGTCGTTGAAATAATTGAAATACATATGTTGTGATTGATTTTTATTGATTCCTGTAAGTTGTGTGTGTTGAACTGTCCCATATATACTTTTATTGATTCCTAATAGGTAGAACAAATCCTTATCCTTCACCAAAATTATTATCTGCCATCTCAGAGATGGTTTCATGGCACTGTGTACATCAAATGTTTATGCAGAAAATCTTAAACACCAATAAAGTTGATTTTAACAACCACAATCTTTCAATATAGTTTAATTAATAATTGTAAGTACACTATGGTACTCAAAAAGAAACTTTTGGTGGCATATGCCTATTTTTATCCAACCACAAAGTGATACGTGCAAATTTTTATTTATTTATTTTCTGTTTTTTTTAATTATTTTCATGATCTATAGTTATAAATAACTAGATTTACAGGTAAAAATTATTCTTTTCATCTCCCCTTTTGAAAAGAGTGAAACTGGTTTGTAACAAATTGTTTTTATGTAATTTGAATCTATTCAAAGACCAAAACGGCCTCAGGCAATTTCTAGGTTGATTCATTTGGGATTATGAAGATTGGTATACATTTATCATTTCCACTAGTTAATCATCTCTATTGAATCACAGGTATGATGGTGTTTGATGTTGTGCTAAAAAATCTTAAAGCAAAATAATCAATTTTAAATTTTTTATGTGGTGGTAGAGGTCAACAAAAGTGAAACACCACCAAAGGTTATATAGTTTAATGTGTCTATCAGGTATGGATTTTTATCTCTGTAGATCAGGTATGGATTTTTATCTCATCTCTATCGCAACTCATTGATCTTGAGATTTTTCACTTCATAACTATTCTTAATCTGATGGATGTATTTGAATTGATTTTTTTCCTCCGCAGGGGTCCATTATCAAAAATAGAAATGGGGTCCATTGCCAAGAAAGGGATGCGCATTATGATGATTGGAGAGATTGTAACAAAAGGGTTGTATTCACCAAATTAAAATTTCAAGGCAATTTTAAGTTTTCAATGTCAGCATTGATGTATTAGGATATAAAAGGTGAGTTTGCTGTTCCACCCAAAAAAATTAGTTGGGTTTGTGCAAGCATGATGGTGTTTTTTAATGGTTTCAGATTTTACGAGAAATTTTGACCAAATAAAAGTTAAATAATCTTTTTTAAATTATCTTAAATGGCACAAGGAGTTTGGTGTTGATGGAATTTGGAGAAAGGTGCTCACTTGACACTTGGGTAAGTTCTATAAAATCAAATAGTTTTTGGTTTTGAATTTGATTTCATTTGGTGTTGGAATTTTATTTCATTTGGTTTTTGTTAACTAGGTATCCTTTAGTTAATGGGTTTCTTAGTTCTTCCATCAAAATCTTTCAATGTTAACCAACAGAAGCAAAAGAAAGTTGCTGCTATTGGACTCAGAGATTTTCATTCCCAAAATCTCAACGTTACTCATGTTGTATCACAAGGTAAATCTTCATTAGTGTTCCTCTACGGCTCTACCAATTACTCTATGAAAAATGTTTCTATATTTTCCTGTGCATTTCACCCATTCCTTGCGTGGTGGCCTTTGTCCACCACACTTCCACAAGAATGGCAATGTCGATTGCTCTTGAAAGTTTTGTGTACTTTGGCATTACAAGTAGTGAAAGTTGCTTTTGTCACCATGTTCTCTGTTAGGATGTACGGTTCCACATTAATGTACCTTATTGGATGCTAATTTCACTTATTGATTAGGTAGCATTTATTTGATTGGTAGTTCCAGCCACATCTTGAAATGCTTCTCATGATGTGGGTAACTTCTATTGATAAAAACGACGACCCTTGTGGGTTGTCCCGATTTCAAGTCTTGGCAGTGGAACAATAAAAGAAAAAAAAAGTAAGTTTATATCGGCAATTTTGTTGTATTACACGATCAGTGCTCGATTTTTGTTATTAGACAATGTCTTCACGCACGAGTTATTGCTAGTTCTAACTAAAAGATAGGTCAGGCAAGGATAAAAGGATATAACCCCTTAATTCAGAGCGGGGCATTTCACAGACAAGTCTTATTGCACTTTTTTCGGACATTAGGATGGCTCTTTATCGTTGAACTAACAGCGGATATCTAGGGATCCTTCAGAAATAGCTTTTTTCTTGCTTTCTGCATTTCCATTATGTTATGTTGCATTGACATTATTCTTTTTACTTTCCCAATTGAAGGCATCTTCTTAGTCCTTTGAGCAAGAGAAGGACATGGCAAATCCGCTCAGACCACTTGGTGGATTTTTGTAAAGTTAGGGAACAACATAAAAAGGGTCAGTTATGCACAAAGCAATCCAATTTGCAGTTCTTTAAGCCTTGGACATATGTTCCCACTTTTTTTTATGACCGAGAATCGCCCCAAAACATGCGTCCTTTGGACTAGTGGCTACAGTGTAAAGACAGGATGCATGCAATCACCTACAACCATGGAAATTGGGTAATTCAGGGTTCTCTACAAGCATCCAATTTGAGATCTTGAGGCAGTAAGTAGAAAACCAAGTAAGAACTACAGCATGGCTTAATGAATGACGACAGTATAATAGTAGTGCTCTCTCTCTCTCTCTCTCTCTCTCTCTCTCTCTCTCTCTCTCTCTCTCTCTCTCATGAGGGAACAAAAATAACTGCATATTCATCTTACTGAGGAAATCTGCATTTCAGGTAAACAAATTAGTGTTCAAGTAAACATATATTCCTTCAGTTCAAAGTTGATCTAGTAACAATGAATTGGTTAACTCATGGCTTCTCGTGCACCAATATGTGTGTGTACCACTCAAATGTAAGTACCTAAAATCACATAACTGAGCGCATATAAGCAGGTGTCCATTTCCAGGTTAGGTGGGTACTGAAACAGCATGTAGCTGTTATACTGTGGTAAATTAATTTCCAATTCCTCACAGAGGAATCGCATTGCAGCTCTTATATTAAGGTAAAAGCTTTAGGAAATGGTACTTTATACTTACATGAAGCCAATCAGCAATCGCAACCACATTTGGCAAGGTCGCGCTCATCCCAACAATTTGGAGACCATGAGCAGGGTCGGATTTACCACTGCTCATACCTGAACTTTCTCCACTAGACGAATCTGCAGTGCCTTCACCAGCTGCATAGTGAAGCTTCGTCAACATAAGTTCCAATAAGTAACCTCTAGTCTGATCACCCACCTGTCAACAAGGCCAATAACCCATTCCAAGAACAAAGTGATGGGGGAGCAAAAAAACTAAGTATGAAAATCATGAAAACTATGCCCAATTGGTGATCATCATTATAGAAGAAGAGATAAAGGGTTAACTACCATGTGCAGCTCATCTATCACAATAATTCCAACCTCTGATAGACGACCCTCCTCTAGCAATCTGTTAACTAAAGAGTTCGCCTTCTCTATTGTGCAGACAGCTACAGAGGTATCTTTAGGAAGAGTTCCACCCCCTTGGTTCCCATAATAACTGCGTACATGCTTATCAAGTGGTTCCAAGAGTGCCTCAAGATGTTCTGCCTGTGTTTTATTCAAACATAAATTGAAGCATAAGATGGGCATACAAAAGGTTCAAAATCTACTGTTCAGAAGCGGGAAAAAAAGCACCTTTTCTGCACATATTGATACATAAGGCAAAACAAGAAGTGCCATTTTCCCAGTTGATAAGACCCGCCGCAACATTAAAATTTCAGCAACAAAACTTTTACCCGCACTGCAACAAATTGAGAGACATAGGTTAAGCAATAGGTAGATGCCACCAACTGATGAAGACATGACACTGTAGATACAACTCCCTGCTATTTACAAAAAGGGGTAGCAAACCGTATTGCCCGCAAACAGGTAGATGTGTGATAGGTAAAGAATCGCCAACAATACAAACAGAGGAAAATAATCCAAGCATAAAATACAGAAGCGAAGGGAAATATAGAACTGCGCAAAAAGGAAAATTGGAAGACAAAATTATTTGTGATAAGTATGGGAACCACCCGGACATTTTAGATTTTTCTTAATTGATTACACAAATCTATTTCCAACATCATCATCCTTTGAAATTTTTCAATATTTTTTTGTTAGTTCCATGATTGCACAATCAACAAAAAAAATAGTCAAAAAAAAAAAAGAACAGTTTAATTTGCCTTTTAAATGAGGCTTTATGGCTTACACACACAAATTAGAAGAGGCCAAAGATAGTTTAGTACAAAGAAAATAGTGACACAGAAACTGATACCCCAACTCCACATAAGAAAGGGCTCTTGCAAATTACGCATCCAGATTGCTTGACCATCTGTAAGTTGTTAACCCCTTCTTGAAAATCGACATGAACTTTATAATCCCTTGCTCAAAATATCTACAAGTTCTTTAGCAAAGTTTCCTTGGGGAAAAGGAGGCTGGAGTTTCACAATAAATCCCAATATAAACTTCTCCTTAATCCATCCACATGAATGTTGAATATAACACCATGCTAGGCAGGATTACAGCATTATCATTGCTTAAAGACACATCACCTTGGAAATCTGCCCTATCCCAAATCTTCTAGCGTTAACTGGATTGAGACAGGTTGAAGCAGCAATAACAAAATCCAACTCCGGTTAGCAGTAGCTTTGAGTTGCCCAGTTTAAGTGCCCAATATCCAATCCACAATATTCAGCCTGGTTGTTTAAGGTGGTAAAAGCATGCCAGTTCAAAAGTTCATAGGAGAAGGTTCCAGTTGTGATCTGGTCACCTCATTGCCATTTTTATTATTATTGCAGTAGAAGCAGCAATAGTTTTGATAAAAATTACAACTCTTTCAAAAGGCTTTTACAAAACTCTGGTACTCCATGGCTCCAAACTTCGCAGCAGCAATAAATCTTGCGACCATTTCCAACCAATTCTTCAGTTTACAGGAACCACAAGTATCATAAGGCATACAATTGGTATGTCAGGACTTCTTCGCTATCTACATCAATGAATGATACCATTTCCATATTGCCAATTCTCAAATAAAAATTCATTTTCTGTATGAATGATTTTATACACGTGCCCAGTAAGCTGCTTTCAAGTTAATTGTTCGTGCAGGAGGCATAAAGGGGATATTTGACAGCTAGATAGGAAGGCATAAAAGGGGGCGACAAGATTGCAAGAGAAGACTATGCTTTTGAAGATTTTAGCTCAAGAGTACAGATTTTCTCCCACAACCAAAATAGGAATCAATATTAAAAAGAAATAGCATCCCTTGCATAATACATCAGACACGTGACAGATTCAAAAAGTACAAAGAAACCAATTGGGTGCAATTGCTTCTCACTCCGAAGTAAAAGTAACAAGCCGGACAGAAATCTGAGAGTAGGTCGGTGGTTTGTTCAGGCTAATTGCATCAGGGAAGTTACCGCCCAATGGTGAAGATGTTGATTTAAGAAAACTAGTTGGTTCTCATTGGGGGTCTTTTACAGAGGTGACTGCAACCTCATGAATGAGCAAGTCAATGGCCCAATCATCTGGCTAGGGGATAGGTACATTGTGGCTAAAATCAAAAGAAAAAAGAGGAAGAAAACGTACGGCAAATGGAGTAGTGCCAGGGTTTGCTCCTTTTCAAAAGATCAGATGAACACGACTAGTAACACCACAAACTTATGGTGATTTAAACGTGCCAAGACTAAGCTAGATTTGTAAGCCGACAAGCCAATCTCCAGGTTAACCTAAGTTAACTAACCTCATAAACAAAGTTTTTGTATTTTATGATCAGCATAAAAATATGCAGAGAGTATAAATGAACTTGTTCTCTAAAAGCCTTGATTGCTATAATGATCCTGCAAACACCCGTACCAAATGACTAGAGATAAACATACTCCACAAACTCCACTATCAAATTAGCATCACCGTTTAAGACTTATGTCTTTCACGGTGGGCTTTGGATATATGGAGTTTAATATTAGCTCTGCAAAATCAGACTATTGTAATTGAACTTTAAATGAGCAAACCAAGTCAAGTCCAAGCTTAAGAAATCTCTGTCAGGCCTACTAGACCTTGAGTTGAAGAGGATTGATCCCCTAAAGCATATACTTCAAAAAGGGGAGAAATGAAAAATATCGCAGCTGTTAGAAAGATGCAGTGTAACCACGTCTCTAACTCCTTGAATCAGAGAAATCCAATTAACGTACTGAGGAGTATCTTTGTTAAACATTCCCATTTAGTATCAATTTACAGGGTTCTCCAGTGTCAATTTACACAATTCTGCATTTGTTCAGTAAGGTGTTTTTCTTTCATGATCCCCAATATACGTAGGTCTTTAAGAGACAAGTGAATAAGTATCTCTTGTAAGGCTTTCCTCCAAATTTTTGCACTCATTCCACAAACAGACTTCATTAATGCATTCTAAGAAAGACTCGTTATCCTAGTGCAGCCTTTTCCTTTTCCTTTTTCTCCTTTTCCTTTTTTGCTCTGAGATTCTAGTGCAGCCTTGCACGAATAACAACTACAGCCAGCAATCCAGTAAGTCTATCTTCATTCCAAACCCGTCATATATATGATAAATTAAACCCAAATTCTAATTTACAACCTCCAGCCGAAATATCTGGCCAGCAAACAATGAATTCTCTTTGTAGCCTTGGAAGCCTAGCATGCTTTTATGTTCGACTAACTATTCAGAAGAGATCTACAGCTCAGCCTATTTAATGCTTATCCAATTCCTCAACCTCACTCTAAGCCTCTCCATTGACAAACAAAATAAAGATCAGCACTTCACATGGATGCATAAGTAGAACTCCGCGTATCTCATTCTTCCAGATTTCTCTTTGCTAATACTTTTGCTCTTATACTGATTACTGTTTCAAGTTATTATTAGAAAAATAAGTTTCACGCTAGATATTATTTTATACCTTCGAACACAGGACCAGGGAAAGAGAAAGAAGAAAAAGTCCAATCCTTAACCAATATTCGATATTCAACGCAAAAATTAATCCCAATGGGCAATGACAAATGACAATAGGCCGCGTACTAACTAACACTTAAATTAATATATTAATTAAAGAAACTAATATAAATCCGATCCCCTGGTGTTCCCCATCACCTTTTAGCTAAAATAGATTATACTGATTTGGAGATATAGGTATAATTTCTCCTTCCCATCTTCTGTCATTGCCCTACTTGCAAAAGGCCCCTGTTAATTTGCTTGTTGAAATAACTTCTACAGTAACCAATTCACCAAATCAAGTTGTACAACAAATGATACTCACAAAAACAACAGACACAAGAAAGAACAATTACAAAGACCAATCTGCCAGCAAACTTGGTATGAATTTTAACCAGATTTTAAAAAGAATACCTGGTAGATGCACAGTATACAAGATTTCTTTTCTCTAAGACGCCATCCACCTGAAGGCAGTCAACCTGGAATATGGAGAATAAGTATATATCTATTTCTCAACTAAAAGACAACCACAAAAGCATCCTTAGAAACAAGTCTAAGTTACAACCTTCTGAAGCCTCAACCACATTTAAGAAATAATTAGACAAGGGAAAGAAGGAGGACAATTAAGAGAAGAACCACATTATTTGTCCTGGCAGTGTGAAAAACTGCCACTTCGAAGGCACATCCTACTCATACCAGTCCAATAGCAACAAAGTAGGATGAGATCGTTTACAGGATATTGCTTGCTAGACAAAGAAAATATGCAACAGTGAAGATGACTCAGGGAGTGTAGTATAATGTCACTTAACAAACAAGAAATAGCTGCAAGGGCATGTTTATTTTGGGAATTAATGTACAGTATAAAACCAAAGAGAGGCAAGAATGATTGATGAAGCCTAAGTTTCCATTAGGCTATAGCTGGGTTGGATGCTAGAAAAGCAGCCTTAACACAATCACAGACCATGGATGGGGATCAAAAGGGAATTGGATAAATGGTGTACATTTATATCTTTTAGTAGTGGGATTTTGTCAAAAGACTTAATTGTAGGGGGTGTCCCAATAAAAACAGAATGATGTATTGATTTTTCCAATAAACTGGTTACTGATTAGCAGAATATTTGACATTAGTCCCCCTTCTAAATTTCTCTAATTCTCATTTTCTAACTTCTTCTTAATTCCTCTTCCAATATTTTATTCTCATCCTCAATTTCTTCTTCCCAATCCACATCACCATCTCTCCCCAAACCCACATCTTGTTCAAGAGTGGAAGGCAGGCTACCAGACTAACCTAGTCAACAGGGCATTATAAAGAGAACGTAAGTACCAATTTTTCAATCATGAAGTGAGGGAAAATTCCAACTTTCACTTAACCCATTTCAAGTATGAAAATCTAAGGCCCATAGCCTCATATGAAAATCTAGAACCTATTAAATATCAGACTGATCCATTATAAACCACAATCTTTAAAGTATAACAAGCTGAGGACAAAATTCAACTAAACAATCAAAAGTACCTGCCATGGATACAATTTCAGTATTCCCCTTTTCCTATATATGCTGCAGATTTCAGAAGGAAGCCAATTGCTAAGATCCAAACGATCCTTTAGCGGCATGAAACTCGATGGTGTGTGTTCATTATATTCAAGGACAGCAGTGAAACCCCCAGTTCCCTTATCCGGTGTATTAGATGTGATGTGATCACTATCTTGAGTTCCAATTGCGTCTTTCCTATTTGCAACAGCACAATTGGAAGTCATCTCTTGTACTTGATGAAAATCCCCATTTATGTGAGCTTTGCTGCAATGGGCAGTAATATTAGCGGTTTCCAGATTATGATTACTGACGGAAATACATCCCTTTTGTTCACCCTCCTTAAGCATAAGACATTTCGTATCATTTCCCGAACACCAATATGACGTATCCTCATCCAAATTTTTGTCCTCGCGAGAAAAGTCAAAATGCTTGACAGGTAATGGTGACACTTCTTTGTTTGAATCTTTTCCTTGCTTCCCCAGTGACCCTAAAGAAGCACTCATTTCCATATCACATACTTTGATTGCACCATCATTTAGTACTTCGTTCAACTTGCTGCCACGATCTCCATTTCTCATATTTGTTGAGCTCTTTATCTTATCCTGCCTATTCAAAACTTTCATTTCTTCAGCAACCTTAACAGAAAGGTTATCACTTGTAGCAAACAAACCATCAGCAACTTGAATTGCTTCATTCCAGAATGTTTCTCCAGGTGAAAATATGGAACTTCCACGTGTTGACTTGGGAGTATCACGGGCTCCACTGTTAATAATAAAAGGACCAGGTGTGTCACATTCCATGACAGGAAACGTTGCCCTAGATGTCTTATTGCATTTTCTCAAGCTCACTTGAAGTTCTGTGTGACCATTACCACAAATCTCCTGCCAAAAAAAAATATTAACGTTGTTTAAAAAGATAGTGTAAATTCAACATCCTGGTCAAATTGGCCGCCATTAACCTCACTGGAACTGTTGAAAATAGCTTCGCCAGATTTCCTGATATGATCGGACTGCATGTTGTTGGGATACTTATCCGTGCAGCAAATGAATTCACCCTCAGCATGGGCCTGGTCCCCATCAGTTGGGCAATGCCTTCTTTTAGATGATGCAACCCCCAAATCTAGTACAGACGGGCTACCTTTCCTTTTATGTACATTCAGTTGTGCCTCTAATGGTTGACTTGCAGAAGAAGGAAGCTCACTGCATAAGGAGAGGCCAAAAAAAATTATCACAGAAAACTCTAGACAGAGCAAACTAGTTCATTCCTAAGAACCAGAAGCAAAAATTACATGTACGGTAGATGGTCAACAAACTAAATAATCGTAACTGTTGTGCCAAATCTTGTTGATGCCATTTCTAAAATAGTTCTATTCCACCAAAATAAATAAATAGAAAATGCAGTACCTACAATAAAATGACAAAAAGTCAGCAGTAAACTGTTTAAGCTCGGTATTCCCCCCACTGTGCAAGGAATCTGAGCAATCCTTTTCAAGACCTCTGACTATATCATCACCAACAACAGAAGAAACCTCAGATTTTTCCTTCTCAGCCTCTCTAACGGCTTCAGAAATTTTATAACATCCCTGGGTTGATGAACAGGCTTCTTCAGTTTCCTCTTTGGAAGACAAACCAATCTTCAATCCTAGGTTTCGCTTAACTAGATCATGCCTAGGTGATGAACCATGAGCTGTGTGCAGAGGCTTAGCAGGAGAATTATCATCTTGTGAATTCACTAAGTAGCTGTCTAGAGAACCTTTACCACTTGGAGACCCTTCAATTGTAATTGTCGCATCTTTTTGAATTTTCCCAGACTTCAAACCAGGTGACAAACATTTCTTCTTCTTCTTTGAAGCATAGAACTGTATAGAGTAATGAACAAAACATACTCTTAAAAAAGAAAATTAGATACTCAAAAATTTCCATGTAAGAATAAGAATGTGTTACCGTGTTCATTTGTTTTTGTGTTTTTTAAGCAAAAACAAATGAACACGGTAACAAAATACAAAAAGTATTCATATACCTCATACTACTAAACAAAACCTTAACCATATTGAGAGTAAACTACACATATCTTGTTTCACTACTCTACTCTATATTGTGACGTATATCCAGTTAAACCACACACTACCATGCCCTTTATTACCATTTTTGTGCTAATCTGGTCTTCCTCTTACCTTAGTGTTACCTCAATATCAACCATCTCAACAATAGATCACATGTCAAATGAACACGAAATAACAAATTACTATACAAGCATGATTTCATATGTAACAACCAATCAAAATTTGAACTTATGCAAGAAATATTAGGTTAATATGTAAGGAAGATGAAACTATTGAATCATGAAAACAAACTGAATACTACAGCTCATATCACTATCTGGGTGAAAGACCCAAATAAAGAAGGAAGAAAAAAAAAGAGAGACAATTCATCTTCAGCGAAAATGAATGTTAAAATCCATTACAACCTTGAACAAGACTAATTCATTTTGTGTGTTTTTTTTATTTTGTGTGTGTGTGAGAGAGAGAGAAAGAGAGAGAGAGCTCAGATTCGAACATGTTAAACTTTTATACCCGATAATTCAAGAATGTAACAATTGCAAACGATATACAAACTTCTAGGTGAAAGACCCAAATAAAGAAGGAAGAAAAAAAAAAGAGAGAAAATTCATCTTCAGCGAAAATGAATGTTAAAATCCATTACAACCTTGAACAAGACTAATTCATTTTGTGTGTTTTTTTTATTTTGTGTGTGTGTGAGAGAGAGAGAAAGAGAGAGAGAGCTCAGATTCGAACATGTTAAACTTTTATACCCGATAATTCAAGAATGTAACAATTGCAAACGATATACAAACTTCTAGGAAGTCTAAGGCTTTGAAAAGCAAGGAAGGGTTTCAAAAAGACCTGATCAATTCGCGTCCGAGGCGAACCAGATGCCATGACCCACTTCGAGTTTCAGACGAACCCTAGTTGTCTCTTGTATCTGCTGTACCGTCTAGTACTCTGAATATTTATTCGAATCCTTCCAAACACCGCCAAGTTGGAGAGAGCGAGAGAGAAGGAGAGAGCGTGGGGGGGAGGAGGGGGTATTGCGTTCAAATGATATGATAGTGGTTTGCAATGGAGCCCCTGATATTTTGCATATTTAGACTTGTTCTCTCGTAAAAATTCTGACCGACTCCTTATGCGGATGGGGTGGATCATTCATGAATCAGGGTGAATCTTTCATGAATCATGGATATAACGAAAATTTAATATAGAATTGGTGAGTTTTAGTTTATTGTTAATGAGTTATAGTATCAAACATAGCGACATGGAAAAATTCTATTAACTGTCGTTATAATATATTGAATATTGATGATCCTAAAAATTATTTAAACTTAAGTTGGGCAGTGGGCACAGTAGTAACTCGGAAACATGCCCCCAATAGAGGTTCACACGATGACATCAAAGTTTGGGTCTCAATTTGAGACAACTAAAGTTAGATGATGGAGGGAGCGGAGCTCCGAATCTCTAACTGTCCAGCTCGTGACCCCTAGCTCGAAAATTGTAAACCGAGAGTCAGTATCAACGGTGGCGGATCTCAAGTGGGGGCAGCTGCCTCTACTAGAATTTTAAAAATTTTGGGAACTAAGCATAATTTTAAAAAATTTAGAATTTATTATAAATTTGCCCACACTGAATTTTTTTTAAAAGATTTAAGGGTAATTGTATTATTTTGACAAATATATGAGTCTCACTTATAAATATCAATGAAAGATAATATCAAAATTTTGGGCATTTAAAGATTAACTAATATGCTACGAAATAGGTTAGTCCTCTCATTTTTTTTATGTTTATACATTGAACTAAATTTGGGACTTGTAACTCTCTTCTTTGTTTTATGTTTATATGTTAAATTGAAAATATAAAATTGGGGCTTATAATAATCTCTTATGTTTTATTTTTTATGCATTAATTTGAAACTCGGATTTGTAGTCCAGTATTTATTTTTCTATGTTGAAATAAAATTGGGGCTTGTAGTCCTCTTCTATGATTTATTTTTTTATATATTTAATTAATATTTGGGTTTGTAGTCATCTCTAGTATTTTATTTTTATATGTTAAATTAGAATTAGGACTTGTAGTCATTTCATTTGTTTTATTTTTATTTGTAGAATTAGAATTGAAACTTGTAGTCCTCCATTATAATTAGACTAAATTATTTTAATTTGATAGTTTGAATAGTTTTATTGTGATAAGTTAAGTACCTCATATACCTAAGTTTAGTTTACTAGAATAACTATAGTTTAAGTTAGTTTCGATTGTTTGTTAAAATTTAATGGTGAATATTAAGTTTGTGATTGAACAAATTAATTTTTGAATTTGTTATGAAATTTTTTCTTAAAATTTAATATATGATTGAGCCCAATTTTGAGGTTCAAAATTTTTTTGTTAGGTCTTATAAATTAATCTATAATGAATTTTTTTTTTGTTGGCTCTTTTTGTATATCCCTCATATATATATGAATTGCGTCTTTAATTGGTGATCTATTAATAAAATTATATTTTGTGAATATTTAAATTTTACTATTAATATAGTTTATGTTGCCCCCACTGGAGAAGATGTCTGGCTCCGCCTCTGAGCATCAATGTGGCCCTTGTACGCACTATGGCAGCAACAGTTTGCACCTTCTAAAAAGTCATGTCACACGTAGAGAACGTAGCCTCCAACAACTAAATATTCTATCACATGGATCGCAACGACCCTCAGGGGAGTCACGTTATTTTACGCAGTCCCATGCATCTACTGACTATAAATAGGGATCGGTCATTAACATTGTAGAGGATCAAATACATGTAAGTTGAGTCTCGAAAGCATTGTAATTGTTTTCCCCAAGCAGTAGAAAAATCGTAGGAGTAAGAGACTACATTAGAGTGGACTACCCAAGCTTCTAAACTAGTGAACCACTATAAATCCCCTGTCTGTTGATTTCAATCATCTACTATTCCTGCATTAATTGTTTAACCATCGAGAGTCTAGTAGCCCTGATATTCCAATGAACGCCATTAACAACCCTCACTAATCTCCAATCCATTTACCCCTTTTTGAGTCCCGAGCTCTATTACAATCGCATAAATTACACCATCAAATATAAATTGAACAAATTTTGACACTACATAATGATGATGCATAATTTAGTCTCGTGGAAGATCAACAGTCGAGTATATGAAGGGGTGTATTTAATGAACAATAAATAAGACAATCAATGACAAAACAGTAAATATAAACAAACACATAAATACATAGTGGTTCGGTCCGGGTGACCTACTCCACTCTCAAGAAACAGCAGTGGTAGCCGGAAGTCTTTATTGATAAATAAAGTAATCGGGATAATATACTTCAAAAGAAATACAATGGTCAGGAAAGAGAAACTTGGCGTGTAAGGAGGTATAGAGAGACAAAACTCAAGGTGTAGTGCGTTAGGAGAGATGTTGTGAGAGACAGATGTCCCTCCATGTGGAGAGAGCTTATAATATATAGGTTTGGTGAGGCAATGAAAGACAGTGATGTGAGGGAGAGGGCACCACCTCTTTGGTAAGTACAATTAAAGTAAGATTGATCTTCATGAGTGTATATCCCGATATTCTCTCTCCCACGTGCTATTTTCCCAAACTCCTTGGACCTTAGACTGGGTCAGATTGACAAAGGGGGCTTGGGCTGCCTTTTAGCCAATTTGGACTTAGTTGTTTTATTGGGCCTGCCTCAATCGATTTTGGGCCCATCATTTTCCACCCCCATGCCCCAAGCCTTCGACTATTTGCGAGAGGAGGGGTTGGGGGCATGAGCTTCTTCTTCACTTGGGTGAGCAGGAGTTTTTTTGTTCTCCATGGCACCTTTTCATCTTTAGGGATTCTACTGAATCTACTAACACTGGGTGTTTTTTGTATTTTTCGGCATCCCTTTTGCTGGGTCTTGAAAAATTGTGCCTATATATAGAGGCCTTTAGTCTTTCCTACCTCATTTCCCTCTCCATTTCTTTTAAGGCTTTTCCCAGAAGCCATTCTTTTTTTCTTCAAAGGCTTCTCCAAGAAGTTATTCTATTTTCTTTTGAGGCTTCTTCTAGAAGCCATTCTTGTTTATTCAAAGGTTTCTCTTAGAAGCTATTCTTCCCCAATACCCATTTTTCTCCCTTAGTCTTCTCTTTTCTAAATCAAAACAAAACCATGGTGACAAGGAGTTTGAGGGAGATGACAAATGGAGAGGCCAAAGAGGGAGGCGGCGCCCATGGGGCAAGGCTTGGAGATGGCGCCCATGGCGTCGGTTCCTTGATTAGAGACAGCAAAGCCTTAGTAGAGAGAGAGAGAAGATTAGCATTCCTGTGGGTAAGGCCCCAGCGGGCGGCACCTTCATCAGGTAGGGTGAGAGGAGGAGGGGTGAGGCCTTCGGCTGCACGGGCGACGCCAAGGACAGCCTGGGGCAATGCACAGGGCTGTGTGGGCAACACCCCACTCTTCATAGGCAACGCCTCAACCTTCTCTTTTGGCGGCGACAAAAGTTCCTATGAAGCCTTTGGTGTGACATCAAGCATAGGGAAGGAGACTCTAGGCAACTCCCGTAGTGGAATGGGCGACGCTATGGCAAAAGGACTAGTGGACGGCGCCCAAGGCACTGGAGAGCTGGTGGGCAGCACCCATGGTACAGGGGGGCGCCTAAGACACTGGAGATAGGGTTGTTAAACGAGTCAAGCTTAAACATTTTGTTAAGCTCGTTTATGTGTAAATAGTCGAAGGTTTAGGCTCAAATTCAGCTCAATTATCACCCCTAGCTGGAGAGCAGATGGGTGGCGCCTATAGCATACGAGGCGGCCCCTAAGGCATTGGAGAACAGGAGGGCGGCACCCATGGCACAAGAGGCAACACCCAAGGCGCTGGAAAGCATGCGGGCGGCGCCCAAAACGCAGGAGATGGCACCCAAGGCACTGGAGACCAAGCGGGCGGCACCCATGGCACAAGAGACGGCGCCTAAGGCGCTAGAGACCAGGTGGGCGACGCCCTTGGTGCCGAGGCAGGTGCCCCATGCGACAACGATGACTTGAGAGCAATGGGGAACTCCAAAAAGCACGCGGGCAAGTCTAACAGCACCTTTGGGGCGCTTGGGTAATGCGAGGAAGCGGTTAGGCAGTGACCTGAATAAGACGAGCTCTCGAGGTATGTTACCTGATGCTCATATTTACTCCCTTGTTGGTATGGGTATTTTTTAGCACTGGCTTGATTTTGTTTTCACAAGTGTTCTTTCGGGTGGATGGGAGACTACTCGGGACTCTGAGCAAGGCATGGGGACAGATGGAGATAATGGCTCAAAGGTAGTCTCTATATTTAGCTCCCTTGATTTTGATGAGGACATTGTAGGTATAGTATCCTCGTATCGCATTCCTCCTTCTGTGATGTGTCATCGTGCTAAGGGGGATGAGTCAGTATGTTGTGACTCCTCTGGTGAGATAGTCCTTTATGAGGATATTTTAGATGTAGGCTTGAGGTTCCCGATACCTGGGCCCATATGCCGAGTTATGGGGCATCTGTCGCTGGCCCCCGGGAGACTAGCTCCCAATGGATGGAGGGTGATTATGACATTATTTTCACTGTGGCAGCTGGTCCATAGTGCTAACGTCTCTGCCCCTTTTGAGGAGTTCTTGGCTACATACGTGCTCCTGGAGAATTCTGTCCTTCATCAGGGGTGGTACGGTTTTGCCCCAAAGTTGGGCAAGTTCATCACTAGGCTTCCTTCCAACTGTCATAGCTGGAAGACCAAGTTCTTCTTCGTTGGAGGCAAATGGACCACCGAGACTGATCGTGAGTTGGTGCCCTCGAGATAGGATACTGTCCTAAGACCAAGCTGTGCAAGGACTCTACCTTTAACTTCATTCTAGTCATCACATATTTGTTCTTATAGTGCAATTGACTTCCTTGTACCTTTACCGACGCTATCCACAGAGCAAGAGGGTAGGCTCCATATGGTACGTGACCATTCCTTCAAGGAGTTCTCTGGGATTATGTTGGTGTCCGATCACCCAAGGCTTCTCCCAGGCCAAAGAGGAAAGGTATTTGATATGTCCAGTAGACTCTTTATAGGCACAATTTTGTGGGCTTTTTATTTACACTAATTCTGCAGGGTACCTTCATTGACAGATCAGTGGTGGAGGAAATCTATGCTTCCAGGGCGGCGCCTTCCCCTCCTTCTTCTAAAAGGGCGAAGTCTGGTGCCCTCGGTACTTCTCAGCTGAGGCGCACTAGTCAAGCTAGTTCCCGAGAGACGGAGCTTGGTGATGCTCCCCATTCTAATCTGATTGATGTTTCTTCATCCCATCGAGGTAGTCCCAGCATTATTGCGGGGGCTGAAGCTCCGACATGGTCTCCTACTAGGACAGAGGGACTGCCTAGTTGTCCTGCTTCAAGCAGTGCTTCGGTATATATGCTGCAGGTCGTGAGGCTAGCTAGGGAGAGGCTTTGGGGGTTCGTGACTCGCATAGAGATTGATGAGGTTGCCTTTCGAGGCCTGAAGGGCATTGTTGACGTTGCTGTAGAGGGCTTTGCCTTGGTATGTCCTACACTCTTCTTTGGTTTTGTACCTGGCTTTCTTCCTTTATATTTTACTGTTGGATGCTTGCAGGTGGCTACCACCCTTCCCTATTTGTTTTTGAGCTCATTGAAGATTAGGGAGACACTTGATGGCCAGGCAGTAGAGAGGCAGACACGCAAGGTTGTTGAAGAATAGTTGGGTACGATAAAATTTACCATGTTAGTGGAGTTCCTCGGTACAGTTCTTGCTGTGATTGGCAGGGTGATAGATTCCAAGGGATAAACTATTTCTCTAGAGAAGCCAACCAAGGGAGTCCTGACGGGCTACAATCTCTCCCTGCCTAGGTGAAGGCTGTTACGAACAGAATATTGATTGAGCTACCACTGTCGACCAGGATCCTCTTAACTTGGTAGTTGGCTACCATCAAGGTCAAGACCAAGGGGTCATCGTGAGGGACCTGGATCCCCTCGAGGTCCCCTATTTGAGAAAGTGATGACTTCTTCCTCCCCATGTCGGGGTGTTTTCTTTGGGCAAGAGTCATGTGACTCTGCCTGCTTGGCTCTCCGGGTGTGTGCCTTTTTGGCGAAGTTGGAGTCGCCTTCTCCTTCTAAACCTTCGGCGATAGTTTAGATCTCACTGATGGGTTGTTGGCGCTCTTGATCCTCGTGCGATGGAGCTGGTCCTCGACCAATAACGTACTATCTCAACTGGCTATGCTAAATATGCTCCTCAATCTACCTCTTCAACTAGAAACAATCATCAGTGTCGTGACTGTAGTCACAGTGGAAGTGACAGGACTTGTTGGGATTTCGGTGCTTTGGGTCAGACTTCATTTTTTTGGGCTAGTGAAGCATGAGGTTATCCTGTATCTGGAATAGGATGTGCTCCCCCGAGGGGTTGAGGGGGGTGAAAGACTGTTGTTCTCTCGGGGGTAACGAATCGAGATGGTCCTTTACAGAGACTTTCTCAATTTTTTTCCTCTTGTTCTCTGTCTCCCTCCTGTCTTCGCGAGTGTCCTTCCTCGGGAGGACTCACCTCGACGGCCCTTGGTGACGTCCTCAACATTCATGTATTTCTGTGCCCTAGATAATAGCTCGGGTATGCTGGAGGATGGCTTCTTGAGGACGGAGAACATAAAGCTAGAGGAGGAGGAGCGTAGACCTGCGATAAAGGCGACTAGGGCTGTCTTTTAGCCAATTTGGACTTAGTTGTTTTATTAGGCCTGGCCCAATCGATTTTGGGCTCATCGCATAAATCCAACTAAACGCTACATATAAATCACAGTACTACTCATGTTTAGTCCAAGAAAAATTCCTAACTGAATCTTTAATGTGCTCATAATAATTTTAATATGACATGTCTTTGCTCCTTTTGGGTTGCCGTCTATATATCTCCTCCCATCTTTATTCTATTAGGAGAAAACCGATGAGATAGATATGAAAGTTCATATATTTTTAATAATTATACTACTTCCTCTGCTATGTGTGAGTTCTTTTGCTTGTGTTAGGGTAAATAGTGTGTAAATCCCTAACACTCACTTCGCTACAATTAGCACATGTTTAGAGTACTCTTAATTCGGTTTTTTATCGACCTGATTTATCTTCTTTCTGATTTAGGTAATGTTACTTGCATATGTACCTCTAAATATTTGTGTCTTATTCATTTATCTTAGTGTAGCTCTATATATCTATATATACACATATAGATGGGTGTGTATACTTATACTTACTACTAAAAAAATATCTTAGCATGAAAGAATTTTGTTTTTTTGTTTTACCCCTAATCAATATTATAAACTGTGCGTGCTGATATTTGCACAATAGTAGAAGTAGGAACATATCTCTCCCACGATGAACTATGGTTCGTCAAGGTAGTAAATTCTAACGGAACGGAAGGTTTGCTTTCAGGATTTCAGATCGCCTCTGGCTGAGATTTGACCCAACCGAACGTGGGTTTTGGCAATAAGAAGTAGGTTGAGAGGGACAAAGGGGCCCTAAGAGTTGGTGATGAATTGTTTGTTAGGTCGCCTGACCGGTCCATGAAGCCTGTGAGGGGATCCTATGACACAGAAAAATAAGTTAGAAGGGTGCCGGAGTGCTTTCCGGCGTATCCCCTCCGACGATCAAGTCAATTCTATGAGAGAGGGGAAGAAGAAAGCACTGTATAGTTTCTTTTAGAAGTTCTTGCATACCTTTACAATGCGTTTTAGAGAACTATTTATACCTTCAAAAGCTCTTGTTTGCTGATAATCCACCTAGTAGATATTTGTCAGAGATGGGGCAGTGTGTCCCTTACTTTTATAGGGAATGGGCTTGACTTTAACTGATCGGGATGCCGAGCAATTAAAGCTCACTCCTTGATCTGCCGAGCATTCAATTTCCCCCTTCCCGGCAAGGATGCATTAAATGCCCAGGCATGGGAGTCTTTAATGCACTTCACTTCTTAGCTCCCATGCCTTAATTGCTATCTCATCAGGAGGAGGATTCATTAAATGCTCACTTGCTCCAGTCATGTGTCAGTAGGGGTACCCAAGTCCTTTTGCTTATTGATTTGATATCACATTCCACGCGTCCACTCCTCCTTGATTGCATGTTCTGCATTTTTGTGCCTCCTGACACCATTGAGCAGAGCGTCTTCAGGATGACTAGCCTAGTCTGGCCTAGGCTAGTCATCCATCAATCATTACCTTTTATAGAAACAGATGAGAGGTGGGATCCAGCGTATAGAAGGAACACCTCGGCACCGAGGAATATTTGTCTAATTCCGGGTAAAGGGTTTTTACCGAGCCGAAGATTTATGTGTCAATCACGCCGATTGGGGATCCCTTGACTCTGAGCATTATCACCTCATCAAATGGGGATGAACGTTGCCGAGGACACGTGGCCATACCTGGCTGGGAACATAATGATGGCGAGGACACGTGTCGTCGATTTGTCTTATTCCAGAATTGTCCCATCAACTGCCCCCAGCCCTTTGATCTTCTGATGCAGGGGAGACGTGTCATCAGAAGGTGAAGGGTTTTATAAATGCCCCAACCACCTCATCATTGCTCCCAATTGTTTTTCGTCGTTTTGGAGATTGTGCGTATTAAATGTGCCTTTTAGTGTTTCGTGCGCAATAATGGGGACAGTTACTATATAAACTGAACCCCTTTCTCTTTTATACACATTAGTTCATGCGAAGAAACTTATGAGAGCTTTCGCCAGAAAACTCCTCAGAGAACCAGCTGCACCACCGCCTTTCCAGCCATCACCGGAGCAAAAAACACACTTGCACCACCATTGCCACCAGACTTTTGATGACAAAACAAGTCCTTCTAAGCTTCCAGACCCTTTCCTTAGTTCTCTGGTGAGTCCTTGCTTTCCCTTTCTTCCTTTTCCTTCCTCCTTTCTGGTTTTTTCGGTGATCGGTGGTCTTCTTAGTCCCCATCAATCTCCCCGGTGGTTTAAAAGACTCTTTAGAACCTTTTTAGGGGGAGAAATCCTCATTTCCTTCGTAGATATGCCTAGGGCTCGCCCT